CAGGCTATACCAACTTCAGCATAGTGTATTTTGGTTCCTTTAATCCAACAGTTTTTCAGCCTCCCCAAAGAAAGAGATCTCTGTGAATTCCATTATCTGTACATTAGGGCTGTGCCGAATATCTGCGTATTTGATAAATTATCAAATATTCAGATATCATTTTCCGAATTCGGACATTGCAAATGCAAAATTCACAAACGGGAAAGGAGAATTTACTTCTTTTTTTAATGAGAAAATTGTAGAATAGAAGCGTGTTTCAAGCAGATTCAAATGAAAAGTGACAGAAATCTTACGACGCAGAAAGTAAATTCTGCATCAGAAATTTTAAACGAATACATGTAGAAATTTTCAACTGGGCAAGATGTATTGTTTGTCTCTTAAATCTTGCTACATGTAAATTGTGGCTGAGGATACTCCTACATATGAGAAGCTAATATAGAGATTATAATGTGCATTGTGCGCATTATTTCAACGGATTCTCTAAATGGTTTGTTCATCAACAATCTCCTGGTCGGTAAGACTGAATATTTGGATATTCGATCGAATTGAAGGTTGAATATTTGAATAGTGCACAAATAAACAGTACCTGTAAATTGATGTAGTCTGTTGGCCTTGACCAATCTTACCCCTTCTCAGATGGTATGCAAAATCAATTTGCTGAGCGCTAAAGATTAATCACTGTCCACACACAACTCGCTTTAAAAAAAAAGGGAATTCACAATTCTCACTCTGAGCCTGGAAATTGAATCTAAATGTAGCAACTAAATGGCAGAGTGGCCCCAGCCTGTTTACATGCAATGAATTTCATGCGAGTCAGAATATTCCAACAATGGAAAGCCCATCACAAGCACGAAAAGTATATATCATATCTTTTTTCGGGAATTTCCCCCTCGCAAAGTATTAATTCCTGCAATTTCTGTGTAAAAAGGCTGGAGAGAAATTGGGTGCACAACTACCGCCATTATCCGAGACTCTCTCTCCATTTCATAGATGACCCGAGTGAATAGGTCAAGTGCAAAACTACATGTACCGGTATGTGTGCAAAAGGCATGAGCACGAGAACCAGTGCGTGAACCAACACGCACGTGCACTCCATTTGCTTGCATTACACTCTGGTTCCAAATGATGTCACCCTGTGGCATTCTATAGGATGCTGCATAAATCAGCATTGACAAGTCTCATAGAAATACCAGTACTGTATGGTTGAAGGCATCATTGCAGAGCAGTGTTAAGGTACAAGTACCGGTACATGTACGATATGTGTACAATGTACTCATACATGCTCCAACGAAGCTACAATGAGTACCTTCCAATGCCACTTCACATGGTTCAAAGACTGAGCTGTTCAAGGTCAAATCAGTGAAGCAATGAAAGGTCAAAGCAAGTTGATACAGTGCATATGTACATGCCTGCATCCCCTACATGTAAACATATACATGTACACGATTGGCATTAAACTGCATGAAATGTCAAACTGGCCCTTACTCTGATCTATCTACTTCACTGAACCAGAGCATGTGAGAGATGTTTCCCTCCCCCTTCAGTTTGTTTTGTTTTGTTGTTAGTGTGGCTTTTTGGGTGGGGGGAGGGGTAGAGGTGGGCATTTTCAACTTTAGTGCAGTGAAAACGACCAACGGATTCTTCTTGTTTGCCGAGTGCTGGTGTCTGAATTATCATCCAGCATATTGTACACAATCATTTGGGGGGAGCTCAGTCAATCTTCTGTGAGTCAGATTTGACTTGAGTTGGATTGCGCATACAACTGTGCCACACAAGACACAATTGGTATGGCCTGTGTCTTGTCAAAAGTACTCAAGCTTGCTTGTAAGGAAGCCTGAGCACGCATGAATGCACGCCGCTTATAGGAGACCTAGCTCTATGGCTGAGGCAAGCTTCTGAGCTGGCTGTTAAATGAAGTGATCATTACTGCACAGTTACAGTATAATACACCAGTTAACAGTTGCCCTGCCAGACACTTCTGGCACTCTAATTGGGGACCAACTTCTTTGGCTTCAGACATACTTGGATTATGCACATGCCTAGCCTTTTATTATATCGTAGCTTCAGCAAGTCACTTGAACCAGGTTTATGGCAATAATCCCAATTCCCAAGGGATGGGAAATACCATATCAAAATTAAGGAATGTCAAGATAAATACATGTAACAACCCAACTCCGATTCCCACTTCTCTGAAAGCTCAATAGTTCCAGTATACTATATGTACATGTAGTTTCATTCAAACCAGTGCATCGGGTTGGGCTCATTTCCTGGGACATTTTTTTCCCCTGAAAGGGAACATTTTTGCAGGTTTACCATAGGAAAACTGATTGAAACAAAAACTGCAAGTCCTTTTTATCATCTGTCCTGCCATGGTGTTCTCTTCACTGCTCTTCTTTCTTCAATATACCAGCAATCTTGACATCACCCAACAACAAACACAGCTGGTCACACAAAGAATGCCGCGAGGGCCTTGAAATTTTTATGAAACAAAGTGCTTGACCATCGATCAGCTCGCCCAGCTTCCGCATCTTTGCAATACCGGTTCTTTGTTATCAACTGATCTTTTTATCCAGTGGATGTCATCAACTGACCAGAATTTTCGCCCAACCGTACAATTGGCAACCCCTCTTCCCCACCCCTACTTTGTCGTCAGCAACTGGACAGAGTGTTGGCCGTAACAATCGATAGAACCTTTGTCAAGCCAGGGCCAAAAGAAAGATCAGGGTCCCGGTCTTTTGTCATGCAGTTTACCTCATCCATAGATGGGATTACACAACTGATCTATACTGAGGTACACCTATGGGGGGGGCAGTGCACCCACCTCCAAGGCAGGGGTTCAATATGGCAAACAGGCCAATACTTAGCCTTTGTAACCCAGCCACACTTGTCCTGCCCTAATGCCCCTCGCACTAAAGGTCACAAGGGCCAGGCTGGATTGCTCATCCAACCGCAAGCACAATCATACAGTCTTGTATTTTTTCTACCCCCTGCATTTAAGCCACTTTGTGGTTGACAACACCCTCCACAAACCTTGTACTGCCTTCACATTCATCTCCCATGAATTCCTTCCTTCAATTCATAATCTTTTGGGGGGGTGGGTGGGTGGGAAGTGGCACTAAGTGAGCGCTCACAGATCCTGACCAGGATCACATACTTGATTGTCCATTTTTGGCCTGTGATCATACAAATGTAGACAAAGCATTGCCCAGTGGGAAACCTGTTTTTTATTCTCATCCCTTCTGTTGCAAGTCACTCACTGAGTGGTTAACAGTGGAGACCAAATTCTCCCCAAGATTTTGAGTAGCAGATTTGCTATACAGTTTGAGCAGTGCATAGGTTTGGTATAGCAAATTTAAAATACATAATTGAACACCTGTAGGCTGTATTTGTTTTCTCAGATTGTCTCTCTTCATTTTTTGAACTTCTGTGATTCCGTCAATAAATGCCGTCTTCAAATCCCTACAGTACTTAACTTTCTCAGCATGCTTTCTACACACTCAGCATGGAATCTTGCTCACCTTTCCTTCAGACAACTTTTAGCTGATCCATTCCCCAATGGGATCCAGTGTTTTACAGTTGCCAGATTTGCCATTACCGTACATTAATGCAAACACGAGTAAGGAGGAAAAGTATATGTGATGGTGCTACTTTGAGGAATATCACTGTCCAAATCATGCGGCTGCAGCTTAAATTAAGCGCAAATCTATGGTAATGGCTGCAGCCACTTCTCATTGAATCATGTGCAATTCAAGCCGCAGCCAGGTCATTAAGAAATGGCCAACACTACGCCCACTTTCCTGCTAAAAAATATTTTGCTAAAAGGTTCTAGAATCATATATTCCTAAGTGGCCCTGCATCAGGTATAAACGGCACGTATGATACCACTGCTCACAAAATGTGCTGTGGTTTCGCATACAATGTATGTACTCCATGCCCGCGCCCCAGCCTGCTGATTTGGCAGGAAGCCACAAGGTGATCTTCAGCATGTGCCTCAGTCTCCCAGACTGATAATCATCCCCAATAAACTTGGTTACATACTTCTTAAGTATCGTAGTGTTTATGCTAAATCAATGTTCATAAGTTAATCTGGTTGTAGAGGTGTATCCATTTCTTCTCAATGGAAATAAATGATCGCATTATTCTCTCTGGAACATCTTGTGTGTGGCTTCAGTCACATACATGTAGCAATATATTTCCGCTGTTCCGGGATCGACACCTTCATTTAACACCAGAATTTTCACTCAAATTGTCAAAGTCTTTTGTAATAAGGAAGATACTCTGTTCCTCATTTTCCTTTGTTTCACTTACAAAAACGGGTCGGGAACTTCCTTTATTTGCTAAAATAAAGCCAAGATTTAGAACGGATCTATTGTAAACTGCATCACAAAATACTCCAATACATTCTTAAAACTGGATCACGAATCGTCCAAAAACTGTCGCATTTTGTGATGCGATACCAGGGAAATCGCTCACTGAATAGGATACCCTTGCAGGGAGGGGTGCAGCAAGAGGAAAATACCAGAACCCTTACTAAAAGAAAATAAAGGGGATGAAGTCATTCCTCCACTGTTCGTACAGTAGTGTTTCAGACATTTCATGAACTTCTGAGGCCTTTGTAGTATATGTCACAATTTTTCTACAAAGTGTAAAAAGAAAAACCAAAGGTTTTCTCTAAATTTCTCAAACCCTTCCAAAATAAGATTACGGAGAGTGGACAACCCTAGTCTGTTGACTGAACTAGTTTGATGCAACGGTTTTAACAATTTCTTCATGTCAAACAAACAACTGGTTTGGGATTTCAAAAAGGTCATTCTGATGAGAAACAAATTTGAGATACAATACAAAACCAAATTTGCAAGAAATAAGTGATTTCTACATTGCAGTTAAGAAAAGCATGGAAGTTGACCATTGGAGATTACATCAAACTTCACTGGGATGGACTGTTCTAATACTGGAATTAAATATTTCAATAAAAAGTACTGTATACATGTAATACTTACTGGAAACTGTGACTGAAGCGGGACTACTGCAAATTCTGCCCAACTCATTCGAGACACAACACTGGTATTCCCCACTGTCTCGCTTTGGAAGCACGTTCGGTAAAAACAAGGAGCCGTTACTCAAGACCTGCCGGTCAGCATTGGGGCTAATGGCCTGGCCGTTGTACAGCCACTGGACGGTCAGTGGTGGCAGGCCGGTAACGGCACAGCCAAGGGTCAGCGGCCGGTTGCGCAGCACAACTGCGTCGCTGGGCTCCTGAGTAAAATCTAAATCTTCAGTAGCATATATTCCTGAAGGATGGAAAAAAAGAGACAAGATAAAGCAATGTTAATATTATTATTGTCACAGTTTTGGGGGGAGGGGAGAGGGCGTTACAACACCTCATAAATATTCATCAGCAAATTGGAACATGTCATTGGCCGATTCCACCTCTCGTCTGGGAAGTAGAAATACTACGCGACCAGGTGACGTCATAGCTGAACCCCTGTTTCTATGCACATCTGCACTCCACTATCATTACATGGAAATTTAGCAGCTGAGAAACAACAATGGCGTCTGTGAGTACTGTACAAGTAACGTGAGATATCTGTTTGAATATTTATGAAGTGTAGTAAAACAAATACAGCATGGTTTATTTCAACAAAATAGTGGGGGTTCGCGTCGGGAGGTAGTCACATTGACCAACACCTCAGGACCAGTAATTCCTACTGCTTCCCCTCAAACCATGCTGTATAATTTGTGTACTATTACTTTCACAAGGCTTAACTTAGACATATACACAATTAGACCATGCACGAGGCACATGCACAGACAAGTAGAGCCTCGGTAGTTTTAGCAGGCAGTTCATGTCCATTTCTAGCTTCTCCCTTCAGTTCCCGTTTTGCAAGTTCACTCCCCTTTTTTCCCACCCCTCGCCATGTGCATAACATTTAATCAACAACCCTAACCCCCTAGGGTGTACATAAAATCATATTGAAATTGGATGATTTGGGACCGTTAGGGTTAAGGATTTAATCTTTTGACCTATTAACCAGCCTTTTTGATGGGCAAAGTGTAATTTGCATTGTGCTGCACTATTAAGACCCCTCACAATCCTAAATCCTCCAATGTCAATATGATTTTATGTACACCCTGGGGGTCAAGGTTAAGTGTTTCCTGTCAAACCTTCATGACTGTTAAGTTTCACAAAATCAAGAAGTTTAAAACGAAGGGCCTTTTGGTTGGGAGGGATAGCCAGGAAGGGACGGTTAAGTTCCTCGGGGGGGGGGGGGACAGCCAGAGTGCCATCTCTGACCCTGCTTTTTTAACTAGTTGGTGCTTACAAAACTTGAAAATTGCAGGATGCAGAGCTCTTTCAGAGACCCTCATCCACATTGCCATTCTTAGTAACAGATTCTTTCCTTCTCCCCCATCCCTACTACATGCAAAAGAACGCCCCTGCGGCGAGAAATCGCTGTCTGCTGTTGCAGTGAACAAGAACGGCAGAGTACACGGGACAACTTGATGGGGGCAGAGGCTGCCTGGTGTTCTACGATGTACTACGCAGCCCTGCAATAAATGTCTATGAATGCATTTTGACTGCCTTCCGTTGCAGTCGGGCAGGGCTCTCATTCCAGCTGTGCTACACTACTGCTGCATTAAACAGGCAGTCAGGGGAGCATCCCTACCAAACACCCACCCGCATAGATCGGACACATTATAATAAAACAGCTCACTGCATCGTTGACATCAAACACAGCGAGTTACGTAATTTTCAGTTTCCCCGTGTACTCTCCTCTGCGGCTTCCCTACCCCCTTGTGGATTAAAGCATAGAAATTATTTCCTTGGTCCACTTCATTGTGTCAACAAAATGAGAGATAAGCAGTTACATAATGCTGGGCCCTACAACTTAAAAGCACCCCTAATGAGGCTGATCATCAAATAAATAAATCACTATATTAAAGGTCTCCGCCCCCTGAAGCAATCGGATCGATAACTTACGGATATTCACAACTCGAGTGTTATTTCATGATCTGCCAGTTTTAGTGATACACTATAATTAATTCTTAATTCTAAATTCTAAACAATCTCACTTGCAAGCTGGACTCCAAATGTGTGGTTTTTTTTAATAAAAGGTGTCTCACAATGGTACTTACTATCATTACATGGATTACTCAAGCTGCCTGAAAATTTACACCTGAAAACTTCTCTTTCAAACATATCCGGATTTTAAGCTTAGTCCTTAATTACTAGAACAGGATCTAAAAAATCTATGAATAATACCATCCCCTTTAATAAAAACAGAAAAACTGAAGAAAAATAATTTGAAGTTATTTAACCCTTACCCTCCTCAATCCTCCAACAGGTGAAGGATTGAGGAGGGTTAGGGTTAATAAAGAAGTTTGGCAACACTACATACGGACAGTTGAAGAAACACAGTGCGCCACATTGGATAACTCTAAAATATTTTAACACTTGTTGGCATTTACAAACTTTTCAAATCATGGTGGCCAGATGATATGCAACTCTTTCTGCATCATTTTTCAATAGCTAGCTTAATACTTAATGTGGTTTGGCAGTACATGGCTCCACTATAAGGTGAATAATAAGCAGGCTACAGTTTTCATCACTGAAGATGCAACAAAATTAAACATGTTATTATAGGCCTGGGCCTAATGCAAAAAAATAATGATGTGATGCAAAGAAAACTTAATTCCAAATGAACATACTTCCAAGGCTAAACAAACGATATTCGGTCAACTAATTTTTCAATATACATCCAGAACAAACCACCATCATCATCATAATCACATCAGCTAGGCCTGTATGTCGGCTAAGCCTAGTAGTAGTATAGGCCCTAATGAAATTCAGCATGTCATGTTCAGCCTAGTCGTGACACGATTCTGACGAATGTCAGTCACGTTAACCTGACATGACCAGAATGTTTATCTCCCACACATTCACTTTCAGCAGGATAATTTTTTTCCCCTTCTCAAACATTAGAAAACTGCCTTGTCCCAGCCCCGTAAGTGCAACTGGGAGCACGGGTTTGGTTGCGCTCAACGCACACAGGGACCGCACTGCAATGGCCGTCCTCTATCTAACGACGGCCCAATGCGAAGGCCGCTACATGCTAAACAATCAATGGCAAGGCCGCACACAGGTACCACACGTTCTACACACATGTACGTACAGGGGGAAAACACTGACCCCTCACTCCCTCAACAAAACCTCAGTATACCCCGTTGCCCAAATGCATTTCCAAAGCTCACCTTTCAGTATCAGTACGCTGGCGAATGCAACAACCAAGGGCAAGCTCTTGCTAGCAATTCTGGACGCCATGTAGCTGAAATTTCACGACCTAAAATGAGAATTTTCCATGTCCTTCGCTCGGTGGACGTTGAGCTCTTCGCGTAGTTTGACTGGTCACGACCTGGCCATGGGCATGAATACAAGTGTCTCATTGCCAGTGCTGTGGTCACCAATGACCTCTGCTCCGCTCCATCCACACATAGTCGGCGTGCGCGATTTGGACAAGGCGAACTATTTGACTCAGGCTGACCGCTCTTTCAGCACGAAGGCTATTGCATCGTTCGGTCGCACTCCCCCCTCGATCGTATAGTCATAGCTGGCATGTTAATGGTATACAATACACATACGTCCATTGAGCGGCAGTTGAAAACATTCTGGGCCCTCTTGTGATTAATCGCAGCGCTTACATTCAACCTTTCTGCCGGGTTTTCGATAATGACTAATTTTCAGAGGTGAATGACTTATAAATACACGTGAAATGAGCGCACGCGCATACAGCAGTAGTGCGCACATACATGTACTTACGCATTGTGGACTTCACGCATCAGCAAGTTGCCAAATGTGAAAGGAACAGGGAGATATGTAGGCGTATGTTCCATTAAAATTAATGATTTTTTTTAAACAACTGCTCAGGCTCGGCATAATGTACATCATAGCTAAGCGCTTTACATGTATAGGACCCATTTAATATGATTTGTAAATCGTATGATTCAATACATGGCAGCTTTTTATTTACATGAAATAGTGAGTTTCCACCTTCCGGAAGTGAACTAGAAAATTTCAACATTTTGGATTTTATGCTAATGATATTTCCGTAATAATGAGACAATGTGTAATGTCGGTCAAGGCACACTTTTCAACATTTTCTTGGAGTGGGTTCCACTGAATACTTGAGTTTTCGTGATAAACAGCTTATTTGGACGATTACAATCGTGTCCAATATTTGTTCCGGCAAACATTGTTGGTGGGTGATTTCGAAGGATTGATTTTTGTGTTCTTTACTCTTTTGACAAGGAGTACCTTGAACCAATTCAAGTTCCATTAAAAATAGTGTAACATCAACAAAGTTTGGAGCCCCATGGCAGGCAACAGAAGTCCCTGAGGCCTCTCAAACAAAAAAAGTCTCGTTTGGTCCTTCAGATTTCATTTGATTTTCAATTTTTAGTTGGTTAACCAGTGAAATTTTTAATTATCAGCCCCAACCAAATTAACCCCCCCCCCAAAAGTGAATGTTCCCAAGTCTTCTCAGCAGTCATTTTTCAAATGACATCCCTCACCTTCCTCAGGCTCTTCTGTCAAATTTTCAGTCACATTCTTGTCTGCTTTGCCCCCAGATGGGTGCCCCTGAATCTACATAGATGATCCTGGGGTATACTGACACAATCCCACAATTTCTTGGCCTAAACCGACCCCTCTTTTCGTGAAAATCTGCACCGGTACTTTTTGTGCACCTCGTCCTGGCGGAGAATTTTCCTTGAATTGGGGACACTGCACCCCTTATGACATCAAAATTGCGCCCTCGTGCGTACGTTGGTGAAAGTACTTTCTAAGAATTTCAAAAACTACCACCTTCCTGTCGCTTCCAATAAACAGTATCTTATTCATACTGCTCTTCCCTGTTATGTATACTGGCTTTTCACAAACAGCGCCCTCTTCTGTCCAGAAAACACAGAAAATGTTACACTGAGTCTTTCAAAGTTTGATTTTCAACGAACCCATCCCGAGGGGGTTTAAACTTGCCTTCATATATTGAAGAGTATAATGCCCCACATGCATTGTAATTCAGGACATGAAGGAGCAGTTTTATGATGATTTTTCTCAGCAAGGCATCCCTGCACAGTTAGAAGTAAATGCTACTGGTGAATTAAATTCACGACTTAAATGCACGTGTAAGGGAGCGTTCTGTATCTGGATTTGTGACTCTCATAAAACGGGTATCCGCATCACATAAGCGTCTTTCTCATGTCTATAATCTTTTTCACAGTCTGTTTCTCCGTTGCTGGGAGACGGAAGGGAGACCCGGATGACTGCAGTAGCTATCGAAGTATCTCCCTATTGTCTATTGCTGTTAATTAAACTCATTCTGAAACGACTGCATGAAGTAACTGTTGTAGAGAACGTCTCACTGGAATGTCAGTTTGGCTTAAGATCCGGGCATAACACTATTAGCACTGGTATTCACAATTCACCGACGAACACAAACGCGACTTTATGACGCCAGATCAAATACTGGCGTTGCGAGTTAGCAAAAGTTGAACACATTTCAATTCGATGCAAAACTTTCGTGACGGCAGATTCGCTTCCACATTCGCCTGAAGTATGAACCGCCCTTTATGAGTCCATTCTGCTTGCAAGACCGCTAGGTGGGAAGGCCATATCTTGTTCGTATGGACGACACCTGTCTACACTGTTAAAAATGTCTGTTAAAACGGTAGATTCTATTGGTATATACAGAAGTTGCTATTTTGGGACACACATTTCACTGTCATTTTTTCTCTGCATAGACTAATCCAATTAGACGCCATATCTCACACGCACATTCTTCTGCTTGACGCGCGCGTGCATTTGGCATATCACGACACCTTATCGGTCGAAGGGGCATGTAACGCGCGCGTACCACTTGTCCACGAGTGTTGTGCCACCGCAGTAATGGCTTCTAATTCTGGTGGTCGAATTATACTACAGGAACTCCGCATGCTGGTTTCCGAATGACTATAATTATGCGATACATGCGTTGTGTAAGCGTCCGGCCCTACCAACAACCAACAGTGTTCATGCTGCATCTTAAAAAAGAGGACACACCTATCCTCGACATTATGCCGCGCAGACTAAATAATAAACGATAATAAACGAAGGCTAGGCCTACCTGCCGTATTGTCATTGCCGCGACAGGGAGCCACTCCAACGTCTTCTTAATAAAATTGGAGAAGTCCCTTCGGTCCACTGCTTAATGACAATACGTGGCAACTGTTGTCAAAAATTTAAAGCCATGCGAAATGAATGAATGATTTCATCAGCTGGCGATATATAGCTGGGGCTGTACCTCGCGGTTTGCATCAAAAGGCGTGCAACTCGCACGTATTCAGTAAATTTGTGCCGGAATTAATTGGGGATGGGGTGGGGGGTAGATTTTTTGGAGGGGGAGGGGGCCCGGTGGTGACTTGCCAAGCCTTTGAAATTTGAAAAGCGTGGTGGTGGTGGTGGGGGGGCTGACCCTACATGACACTGTGTAGGGGCGATGTTCATGATACAGATGCACAGCTGTAATATGTATTACATCCATGCAGAATCTTACATCAGAATAGCATATTTATGCCAATATAAATATTGTTTTCCCTTTTTGAGTGGTACATTTTAGTCATTGGGAAGTGCACAAAATGCTTCACAGTCCGTTTTAATTTTTTTCTCATCACAAAAGGGATTCAATAGCTTCACTGGAAAGCGTGTGTGTGTGGGAGGGGGATACATATCCCCACCCCCGGGATTTACGCCCATGTATTAATTGTTTCAGACCCGTCTTGAATCCAGGGGGAGAGCCAATGGGGACAGATAAATCCTGACAAAAAGAGGGAGGGAAACGGAGAGAGGAAGCAGCATCTCATTTCATTTCCAGGCTGACCCTTACTTTATGGATCTTAACTTAAATTGCTTATGTTGCCAGGTTTAGTTGTTTTCTTTATAAATATCGTTGCATTTTTTGTTTATTTGTCAATAACAGATTCAACAGGCTTGCTGGGTGAATAGAGTTGAATATAAAACAAGCATCCAACTCTATGGCCGTATGCCATCCATGGTATCATAGTATTTTAGACAGTATTGTTTGTATTAGAGTCGACGTCAGCTCAAAGGGGAGAGGGGGCCACCGGAAAATCGAGAGGGTGGACCGAGATTATGCCGCTAGTAAAGTTTTCTTGACAATGCTGCGGAACTTTGACATGACTTCACCTTTTTAAAAAAAAAAAAAGAGACATAAAAATTTGGTTTGAATGGAACATTCGCCTAACTCGCACTCCCCTATCTCCTCTGTTGCACTGTCGACATCCATTCTTTCCTCGACGAGTCCTAGTATGGCTTTTCACACTCACAATATCAGCAGAGCCTCGGTTTGATGGCACTTCTGGTTCAGGAAAAGTCAAGGGTCACTTGTTTGCTCAGTGCAGCATCATCGGTGCGGTACTTACTGGTTGCACAAGAAGTACATGTACATGTACATGTACGTGCAAGAGCTTTGCTAGTGTACACATGTAAATGTACATGTATGTGTCTCCTGACTTGGAGCTTCTCGTGCGAAGCCACTGGTGCCACGAAGGATACTTTCAAAAATTCTGCTACATTTTTTCCAAGTTCGTTTTTTAAAGGGATGTTTTCAAAGTTCTTGTTTTATGAGATATACTTTTAGAAACGTTGTTCCTATTTTGGGAAAATCGTTTTTATCATATACATTTTCAATGTTTTATGTGATATATTGTTTTCAAGTTCATTTTAATGATGTTTTTTTTCAAGTTCGTTTTTTATATCTGAGAAAAATAAGCTTTGAAAAAATTTCTCATAAAAGCTATTCTTTTCCGAAAATAGAAAAGATGCATCTAAAAATACATTCTTTTCCGAAAATAGAAAAGATGCATCTAAAAATATATCTTGGGTAAAATATACTTTACCTTTTGAAAATTATAGGCCTACCTACTTTATGCAACAGATTGCATATCGTGGCTCTATGCAATCTTTGCTTTATGCAACCAGCGTGCTTTTGTAGTTGTGTATTGAGGGCGCTAGTGTTCTAAAGCCGGGGGTGATCGAGGTTAATGAAACAGCCGTCTGATATTGTTCTTGCAGCTGGCTGATGTAAGACCAGGCTCCTGTGTGCACATGGCCATATTTCAAATCCCGACTTCGTCCCTAGTTCCGCTTCATATGTCGCCGAAGAGTGATCCATGAGCACTTACTGTCTAAGTCCAATGGAACGTCTTCCTAATATTTGCATCAGTTTTTGATAGATTTAGAGTTCCTGAAGCTAAATGATAGTTCTATTGTCAGCCGTAGCCCCCCCAGTCAGGGATCCTCAAATCTCATGTTTACATAATCTGGAAGTGGAATGAAGGTAACGTTTTGGAAAAACCCCTCTGACATGACTCTGGCTCGGCCGTCTGGTAGTACTAGTGGTGTTATTTTGTTTAAAAATTCTGCTTTTACTGCTTGGTTAACGCGTTGTAGGCAACGTTTCCAGGATGAAACTATTGACAGATAAAGGGAATCAGCACTGTCTTAAGGCTGTTATTGCTGCATGTCTTGCAGGGGTTAAACTGGACGTGGAAGAAGTTGAAAACACGGGTGAGGATGGAAGCATGGAGGTACTAGGTAGAAAAGATGGAAGACAGTTATTGATGCAGGGGAAGAGTTACGCCAGTAATTATCCCCTACAGGGACTTGTCACTAATTGTTAGCCAGCAGAAAGCAAAAACATGTCCAGAAATGTTCAATTTAGGAGGGAAAATACAAAGTCGTAGACTGAGAAAACACAATTTTTCATACCAATGTATAAGGTTTGTGCATGTGCAAAGTGTCAAGTGATGGCCGTCAATAAATGGTTGAAACCCTTTTTCTGTAAGCAGTGTGGGCTTAGCTGTTGACTGCCATTTTGCTAGTAATAATAGTATTTTGCCTTAAACTACAGATGGCAATTTTCAAGATTCTGATTTTTTGTAGTTTAGCCAAAATGCCCTTGTTGTAAAAATTTTATGGTCAAATACTACTGCTCTTAATTTTGAATGTGTTTTACAAGAGGCTTGGATGGTATAGTGTGCGTGTTGATGGTGTGTTGACGATAATTTGTAAATTGTAAGATCGGTGATTGTTGATGTAAATGTACCCTAACATGCGTAGTGAACATGCCTAACCACACTGTTCCTTGCTAACGTGGCAGCTTTCGAGTCAACTCGTACCTTGGAAGACTCGTACCGCGGGCAACTCGTACCTAGCCTGGGCCAACTCGTACTTTGGGCAACTCGTACCTTGAGTTAAGACCTCTTGTACCCTCATGCTATCATTTCAGTTGTAACTTTCTTCCTCTGCCTTTTCAGCATGTTTAAGATCAGATTTGACAAACATATCTAGGAAAAATCTTCATAAATCTCCCATAGGGATCTCAATTCAGTGCCAGCATGATTTTCTGCGTAGTGCCTGCCTGCGGGCGTTTGCACTGTCAGTTTACGTGACGAATGTCGAACTACCCGACCGTTTTAATACCAACTTGACTTCTTTATTGATATTCAGGGGGGGACTTTACTAAACTCTAAATTCGGGGGGGACTTCAATTTATTCTAATGGCTCTGGGAAAACGTAATTGGACTTTTTCATTTTTAGGGGAATGATGGCTTTGTTTAGTACCTTTGCAGGGGGGGTTGGTATACTTAAAAAAACTTGTTATCTTGATTTCTTTTGGATATGTTTCTGATCTCATTTTTTGGGGGGGTGGTTACCTTATTAAAATTCTTTTTGGGGGGGACAAGTTACAACTGACATTACTTTATAAACTCTGAAGTAAATGAAAACATGACATCACTCGAACATCACGATGGACTGCACGGTGAAGATTCCGAAATGAACGCAACAATGGCTGGCCATGTTGACTAGCGTCAGTTGTCTGACGGCGCGCGCACACGTGCATGACCTCGATGCATCTCACGTTAATGTAGGGAAGGCAGTGTAGCCAAAATGGCAAATTAGGTGACGAACACATGACTAAGAAATCAAATTATTGTTCAAGTTAATTACTTTAATAATATGCTTTGAGGAAGCTCTGATTTCTGTGACGGTATGAGTTGTCTTTACTGGAGGTACGAGTTGTCCATGGTATGAGTTGTCCAAGGTATGAGTTGACCTGTTCCCACGTGGCACACTTTGATTTTTGGCCTCCAGTGCCTTGCTGGAATGATATTTTTTCCCCAAATTTCACAATACTATTGTCAATAGGAGAAATTTCATCAACATTCCCATTCTCAAATCTTGAGTTTCCCACTAAATAGCTGCTACAAAGTTTCAGTCAGATTCAGTTTTTCTGATTTTGACCTGATTTTTCATTTTTATTTTGTTTGAAGTGTACAATGAAGCCTTTCAAAACTTTCAACCTTTCAAAAAAGAAGAAAATGAACTGACAGACTTGTAGTTGGGTATGTGAGTGAAGGTAAAAACAACTCATCAGAGTTTTATCAACTTCAAAGAAAGTCTTATATTAATGAGGGATTTTCTTAGATGTGTTAAAGTGTGTGGAATTTGTGACCAATTTCCAGACGCCACTGTTTTTTAATTTTGGACGTTCACCGAAATTGTTTGCAAGGGTTCAACTACGTGTACAATGAAGACAATGATACCAGCATTTAAAATCTGGAAATCCAGGTTTACCATAACAGTGTTTTTACGTGGAAAATAGGAAAATGGTATTTGAAGGGATACCTTTTGGCAAACACAAATATATACCATGGACCCTACGCTGCTGTGGGTCCCTCAAAACCTCTGGTGATTATTTCATGGATATTTCAATTTCCTCTGATCTCACCCCTGTGTTGTCTCTACCTTGTTTCCTACACATATGTACATGAATTGCTTTGTTCTGCTTTGCCTGTAGATCATGTTGTGCCTTACCTGAGGAAGAATCGTTTGCCAGTTCTCAATCTGGGCAATGGAGATTTCATTTTTTCTGCAAACAGTATATGCAGGTGAGTCGTGAATGTCAAACAAGCTGAGGGTTCGAGTCAAGCTTATTTTTTTTTAATTCTCAGAAGCTGTCAGAAAGCACTGTGCATTTTATAGGACGTAATAAGCCCTGACCTTGACCAATAGGAAGCACAATTTTCCAAGCAAAGGCAGCTCCTTTGGTCGGAACTGCACTTTGCAAATGATTATGAAATGCACCCATTATGGGCATGTCACTACCAACAAAATGAACACTCACGACCAACATGGCTCTTTTCAACCGATGAAGGGGTGCTTCTGCTCAAGGCGGATAGTACTTTCAACATCATGCTGGTCAAGACCCAACCTCATAAATGTAATAATGTGATCCCCGGTCAAGTTATTAACATTGTTGCATGGTTTGGCTATAAGAATGAAGAATTCTCGGGCCCCTTGTAAAAGCATTGGATACTGAAATACCGCTTTGAATTTTTGTGTGAAGGAAAAGTCCCATTGTACCGGAATGTTATTTGTCATTGATGAAATACTGACAGACATGTGAATGCTATCATGTGCCAGGTATCTGCTTGCCCAAGGTGCCTTGGATGTTGATGACACACAGGTGGATGAGTGGCTGGAGTGGGAGGCTACGCAACTGCAGGTGCGCATGTTGGATATGTGGTGCCTTTTGTGCTGTTTGTATCATGTGCGAATCATGTGGAATTCAAGGCTACCATACGTGGCCATGGTTGACATGCATGTTTGGATTAGGGTTACTTTTCGTTAACGAACATCTTGGGATGTGTTGTCGCAGGCATTTAATTTGTCCAAGGCCCATTCCTGTCCTCTGTGTCAGCAAAAATCTGTGCCTTTTGTTTTTACCATCTACAGTTTCTGTTCAGTCAAGATTGCAAGGATTTGTGTTTTATTCCTCTTTGCACTTACAAGAAACATTTGAAATTGTTCCAGTGTGTGCGCGTGCTTACCCTTGAGGACATATGTAATTTTACCCTGGCCACGGGATTGTGTGCTGTAGAAATTTAATCAGAAACTGCTAGTGAAGATTGAGACCTGACAAGTATCAATTTTAAATTGCGTTTCTTTCACACGTACCAGAATGTAGTGTCCCAGAAAACCGTGGGCCCTCTCTGATCGTAGAGTTACAGGTTGCAGTCCTGATGTTTGAAAAAAAGGGTTCGGTCTTCAAGAGCGATTCTGCAGGATTGTCATATTCCACCCTCTGACTCCTTGAGGTTTCTGCTTTTCTGTACTCAGCCCGTGCTTGGATCGTTCTTGGCATTGTTATACGGGAGTGGCAAAGCCAACGCCGACTGCTTGAAACCGTTGCTGACTCACCTCAACAGTTCCCTGCAGGGAAACCGGTATCTGGTTGGGGTAAGACAAAGAGAGGGGAATTCAGTCAAACAGAGTTGGCATCACGACTCACTCCGCCCTAAAAGGGGGAAAGAGTAGAATCTTGAGAGATGTACTCGTAATGAATGTCTGCCGTACATGCATGCTAAATTTGAAACAGGTTTGGCAAGGGATTGGTGAAGTCATAGGGGGGAGGCAGATTCCATGCCCCTCCCATCCAAAAGTGTAAGAGGGCAGGGTGAACCGTATGTTCTTACCGAAGGATGTTTGAGTTCGAGACCTAATGTGGTGACAGCTCTGGCTTCTGTGACCGAGGGCCGGCCCAAGCCTGGCCCAAGCTTTCCTCCTTGCATAATGCTTGAAGCCTTTTCCAGATGGAAAATTTTGCCCATCTGTAACACCACAATGTGTTTCACATTTTTTTTCTGAAATTAATTCAGATTTGAAGTGAGGGAAAGAAGTGGAACCTCATTTACATGTGGGTGTAGTGTGTCCCAGTCTGAAATCTTGAAGTAGACCCCCAGGATTTAACGTCGTCCAGTCTTTTGAAGGCTTTTGAGAAGTTTAAGATTCGTACCGCCTAGACACCGCACATTGCAGTCTAGGGTATTACCACATATGGGCATAGTGACTTTTCCTATACTGATTGAGCAATTTTTGTCGACATTCAATTTTGAATATCTCAAGTTGGCAACTACAAATTTTAAATCCCATCGGTACTAACGTGTTTTAGAACTTCTAGTTTTGTTTGTAGTCAGGTTTTTTTTGCACAGCCAGTCTAATTTTTGTAATTGAAATTTGTCGTTAGTGTTTTTGTTCCATATGCTCCAACATGTAAGAAAAGCACCCTGTAACCTAGAAACATCCATGCAATCCGTTGTAGGCCGCTAGAACAAGCCTTGTGATTGGTCAGATTGCACAAGATTGTAGCATAATAGGCTGTCCAAATATGGTAATAGTCCAGACTGCATTGGGCTTGATATCTCGGATTTGGTCAAGTATGGAGACTGTGAAGTTGTACTGTACATCTTTAGATTTTGGAGCTAAAGGGCTTATGCTTAGCAAAGACACCTAGCCAAATGTCCACCTGCTGATGGATATATGGAGCTAAAGGGCTTATGCTTAGCAAAGACACCTAGCCAAATGTCCACCTGCTGATGGATATATTGGCCATGTCTTTGCCATCCTCAAGTTTAATCATGACAGTTCAGTGTACACATAATTTTGTTTACACCTGTATTTTGAATGTGCATAGAAAACATTCTCTCCTTGTGCTTTCAGAATGGCTTATCAGTGGCAGATATCAGTGTCTGGTCAGCCTTGTACCCAGCGCAGGCCACCAGGTCTGATCTCCTCCCCGCCTACCCCCACGTGGAATCCTGGTTCAGGGGCCTCAGCGGGCAGAAGGCGTTTGAAGCCAGCGTTGCTGTGGTAACCCACAGCCAGGGAGCCGGCAGCTTCAAGGCATCCATTTTGGCCCAGCCCATTGTTCAGATGCCCGTTGGGGATGCCAGGACGGCAAAAGACGAAGAGTCTGCCGACACCGAGGTAAGAGGAAACTTTGTCTTGAATGTAAAGTCAAAGACTGCTTGTGCACGGTTGCACTTACAATCTCTTACACAACATAGCTGTAACGTTAACTTTGATGAAATATTTAAGGCATGTCCAAAACAGGCTTTCAGAACTGTGGCTGCGTCTGTTGTCTGAGTGATACCTCAAAAACTGCCTGTTTGTAGTTACTCTTATGAGTACTTGCATGGAGTCAAACTTTGTAAAGAAAAAATCTGGTCATGTCCAAAATGGGCTTTCAGGGCTGAGGCCGCACCTGTTGTCAGTTTTACCCAACTGGGTGAAGACATAGATCTAGACCTAGTTAAGGGACAGCATGCCTGGAAGTTGGAAATGCTCGCTTACAATGAACACTGTTACAGGACGAAACTGTCATCAATATGAGAGCATTATTCCCAGGGACGTTTTGAATGTATGCTGTGCGTTTGTATCAACGATGCTTTTTGGTTGGTTTTCTGTCAAGCAGGACGTCACGAGTGAAGAGATTGAGCGTGCCAGGCAGGCTTGGTTGCTCGGTAAAGCCGACGCACCGACGCCGAGGGCGAGAAACCATCCGCTGTAAGTGTAGACCTTGCCTCTCACCTTAACTACTTCCTGCCGGGTGCCTGTTGAATATGCAGTGCCTACATACTGGCAATTTTTCAATATCTTTGCTTTTCAAAAATTTTCAAAAACTTTTTTCTTTTTTCCTGAATGCCTAAACCCTATTGAGTGACTGTCTGGTGGCTCCTCTAATCTGACAGACATCATCTATTGATGCCCGAGTATTTCAGCCAGGCCTGCCGCCTTTTTAAAAGAGCCCCAATTGTGTGGTGATACATAAGTTTCTTTTGTTCCCGAAACTGGCGCAGTGCGCTGCTGTTGTCTTTTCAATTCGGGCCAGGTTAGTGTGCAGTGGTATTGTATCGCTCATCGTAGGAGTGCTGAAGTGCCTTTGTCCCAGGTGGTAATCCGCTCGCGCTGAATGCCACAAACAGTGGTATAATTTTTCAAAACAAATGACGGATTTTCTCCGCTATTGACAACTGAAAAATATTTGCAATTCCCAGCAGCTCGGTCTTTTGCTCTGAGCTCGGTCTTTTGCTCTGAGCACGGTCTTTTGTTACAAGGCCCAGCTCTTTTGTCCGATTTCGTGCACCCTGGCTATGCATACAAACCCAAGGTACCCAAAACCGGGTTTCCCGGCAGCATATGATTAACGGTGCTGAAACAGTGTAAGGTGTGGATCTTGAATCAAATTGAATTGTAGTCTTGTGGCAGCTGGCAGGCTTGCATTCTGAGGCCATTTGGTCTTGAAATGGTTGACAAGTTTCAGGGCAAGATTTCTCCCTCTGACTACTGCTGTATGTTGTCGCATTTGATTGCGGTTTTAGCCAGTGTACTGTAGAGATTAATGTTGTGTGCATTCCAACTTTCCATCCCTGCCTCATCCCCGACCCCTCTTACTTCACATCACTTGTCACGGCCCTTACCCTACCTAATATACCATGCCCCTGCCTTTCCCCAAACCCCCATCCTTCCCTGTACACCAAGCCCAAGTACCCCCCATACCTAAGCACTACCCCTCCCTATACCCCTATCCCCTGTCCTTCCCTGTACCCAACCACGACCCTTCCCCATATGCCCATTTCTCTTCCCCTTCCCACATACCCATCCCTTACTCCTCATATGTTCAGCTCCTTCCTTCTTTCGTGCCCTCGCCTCTGGCTTATATGAGCCCCTTTTTTCCCGAAGTCATCTTCCTCGTTTTTCTTCTTCTCACAGTCTTCCGGAGAAGGATCGGCGCAACGTCTTGATCACCAGTGCCTTGCCTTACGTCAACAACGTCCCCCACCTGGGCAATATCATCGGTTGCGTGCTGAGCGCCGACGTGTTCTCAAGGTGCGTGGTCTCATCATCCAGGGGCTGCCGTTGAACCTGTGGTCAAGAACCCTTCCTCCCTTCCGCCACGAAAATACACAACATCCCCTGCCCGACAGGGGCTGGGCTTAACACAGGCATCTATGGGAATTGGCTTCAGCCGCTAGCTGTTGGCTTCCATAAGTGACCCTGTTTTATTCAGCCGCAGCCACAACTTTCAGACATGTGCCTTAAAGTCCAACAGAAGAACCAGCGAGGGTTCTTCACTCAATTCTGTGCTGGTCCGCCTCTCTTACTTTTAGATGCAGTTGCCCAACACTGATGCAACTGCACAGCACCTGTTTGATGGTGTTCAGCATAGCCAAAAAAAATGGACAGTTTAGTCGCACAATGGCATTGCTGACACAGTTCCTCAATCTTTACTGTATTGGCATTTTTGTATAGACTTTTGAAAATTTGATCAAGACATTGGCATTTTAAAGATGACTTCCAACACATTGTCACGAGGCAGCCTTTCAACCCATTGTACCCTTCTTGATCTCCTTCCATTTTTCAGGGTTCTGTCAAATTTGTTTTTTTTCTCTGCTCCAGATTTTGTCGTTTGAGGAACTACAACTGCCTGTACATCTGCGGGACCGACGAGTACGGGACGGCCACAGAAACCAAGGCGTTGGCCGAGGGGCTCACCCCCCAGCAAATCTGCGATAAGTACTACCGCATCCACTATGACGTCTACACCTGGTTCAGCATCGACTTTGATTATTTTGGGAGGACGACAACCAAACAGCAAACGGAGTACGTGGAGAAAATGAAAGCGAAGGCCAAAATTCGTGTGAATTATCAGGGCTCTTAGTGGCATTTCTCGTGCGCATCTCAGATGTAATACTCAGAATATTGCTAGGTATATCACGTCCCTACCTATCCCCAGGAAATCTCAGGTTGTATCACAGACTTTCATTTCTCACACTCGGAATACCCTGGGTAGTGCCACACACCTTTAGCTTGGCATTAAGAGTATCTTACAGATGGTGAGGTATGTTTTCAGTCATTTAGTTAGGTACAGTGGTGTCTGTAATTTAATCAGCCACCAGATCTTACGCTTTTGGTTGACAACATTGCGCCTGAACCTTTCGATTTTGTAAGGCAGTTGAAGACCGCCTTCAAAGGCCATGTGTCAGATGGCCAGGGAGGCGTTCAAAGGCCGGTCCCAAGAAAGTGACAGATAAAAACTGTAGCCTGCCCTTTCTCATGAGTGAGAGTTCTTTTCCTGAGATGACTTCTTTGATGCCCCATCTTTGTGCCCGTGTTCCTCTTTTGTCTAGGATGACGACTGTTTTGTACGCAAAACTTTGACCCGATTCTTTTGAGATGTAAGTTCCTCATCAGAGCTTTTGTTTGTAGCTTCCAACCTTGTCTTGTCTCAATTGTGCTTTTCTGTGTCGTCCTTCCAGGATTGCCCAGGATATTTTTCTCCGTCTCCACCAGCGCGGCTTCCTTCTCAAGGACACGGTGGAGCAGCTGCTGTGTGTCAAGTGCAATCGGTTCCTGGCTGACCGCTTTGTGGAGGGCACCTGCCCCCTGTGCTACTATCCCGACGCCAGGGGGGACCAGTGCGACAAGTGTGGCAAACTCATCAATGCCACAGAGCTCAAGGTAATCACTCAAAACAAATGAAGTTGAACGGGTCTGTGAATGTTGACAAATTCTTGGATTTGAGTGTCTTGTCCCAAAGTGGCCACTGTTGAACTTCATTGTCAGTATGTGGTGTGCACACCTGAGTCAGCTGAAGGGTTGAAATGAGCCTCCCACTAGTCCGTGGAGAGACACTGTATGTTAGAGTGGAACTTGGAGCTGTACGTGGCCTGCATTTTCACAGCGAATGCTCCGTGGCAGGGCCTTTGAGTCTTGCAGATTGCTAGTTTGTATTGAGAAATACTGTACAATTGACGTTGAAGAGAGTCTGCATTTGTGGCTTTTGAATAAGGGAATAAATATGTGGTTGGCCAGTTTTAAATATGTGTTTAAGACCACCTCAGGAGAATGGACGCGGCGAGGGCATTATCAGTGTTCAGTCTCCTGAGCCTGTCTTAAACGTTAGTTTAAGACTGGCCAAGCACATCTTCATTCCCATTCATAAATACCTTTTGTAGTTGGAGTCAAAAGAAGTCAATTTATGATGGATTTCCAACAATTTTGTTCTGGAATTTTACTTTCATTTTCCTGAACACCCCCATCCATTTTGTGGAATATTCCTTGTGCAAGTTGTCCAAGACTCTCTTTATATGGACTTGGAACATGTGTTGCAAGCCGCTTGCACACAGACTCTTGACCAATCAGAATCGATTAAACTGCCTTGTATCCAGGTGCCAGTGCTTGATTTACGCAGCGGGCATTATCACTTCTCAGTGGGCATTATTAAATGTTAATACACGGTCAAGTTGCACGTTGTTGAATCAGGAGACTGTTTTAGGCATTTATGAATATGTTTGAAAAAGCAGGCTAATGTACCTTGCCTCTTTCTAAAGTCGGATTTTTGGCCCAAAATAATACCTTGGTCAATAACAAGTCAATATTTTACTCAGAAACCCCGCTGCAAAGTCTGCAAGAAGTCCCCCATCATCAAGAACTCGGAGCACCTCTTCCTGGACCTGCCCAAGCTGCAGCCCCAGGTTCAGGCCTACTTCGAGCGGGTGGCAGCAGCGGGTGACTGGACAGCCAATGCCAAGTACGTCACCTCCAGCTGGCTGCGGGATGGCCTCAAGCCCCGCTGCATCACCAGGGACCTGAAGTGGGGCACCCCGGTGCCCCTGGATGGCTTCCGGGATAAGGTGTTCTACGTCTGGTTTGACGCGCCCATCGGCTACCCGTCCATCACGGCCAACTACACGGACCAGTGGGAGAGGTGGTGGAAAAACCCAGAGGAGGTAAAGCTGTTGGGGGAGTCTGGAGTAGGAAGGGAGAGTGGGGCAGATAGGGGGATGTTTGACCAAAGTTGAATCAACTTTTACCTTGGATAAATATCATGAAGGCACTGAGCTCAGAAAGTTTGCTCAGAAAAGAAACAAGTTACCAGCCCATATTTTATACAGTGTATATTGCCGGTGACCGGTACTACCCTGATCTTTGCTAAGTGTAGCTAGATCTTTCAAGCACTATTGCCTGTGTAGCAGCTATGCAGAGTTGCACTACTGAACTTTATTTCTGGGAGTTCCATGTTTACTGGCACTGTGGGGTTACTAATGAGAACTAGGGTGTGTAGGATGCTGTGTGCTTACATGCATTGGTTGGAATGGCACAAAGTATGGGCATCTTAATTTTCATCAGAATGTGCATAAAACCTATGGGTAAACATGAACAAAATGGTGTATTTTTCATACATAGTATAGCATTGACTAGGTGGTACATATTTGATTGACAGAATGGTATACTTACTGCCTTGAATAAGTGGTATAGTTACAAGCTATTGACTCATTTACATTACATTGTTCATTCTGAGTAGCATGCGGATGACGATTAGAACAATTGCCCTTCTTGAGTCAGCCATCTTGAATCACAAGCAAGGTGATCCCTGTACACATTTCCTAAAATCATACAAATGGGAATGAAGTTGATGGCATAGGTGGCAGATTATGCATTACCATCCTTGTGCTCAGATGGGTAATGCCAATATATGGATAAACCTCACGACACCTGTTTTCCAAACAACAGAAATTTCCAACAAGGCTGTACCTGTAATTGTCACCAAACAGTCAGGTTCCTTTCCATATTGGAGCATGTCAGCACAGGACATGGATTTGGGGGAACACAATCCACAATGGGCGTCTTGTGAATAAAGGCCACTGCATGTGAGAATGCATGCGGGTTGCATGTCTGCATTTTTCCCCGAGGGGGCGGTATACATGTAGTACCTTTTTCTCCTTGTCTGGAAGGTGGAACTGTACAACTTCATGGCCAAAGACAACATCCCATTCCACAGTGTGGTGTTTCCCTGCACGCTGATTGGAGCTGAGGACAACTACACCATCGTCAATCACCTCATTGCAGCTGGTACGTTTGGACTTTATGACGATTACTTTCGAATGTAGAAATGCTGGATTGTATGATGGTCCAGGTTGATGTACCTGTACTCTCTTTGACTTGGACCTCTATAAGCGTCAGTTTGCATCTTGTTTTTTAGCCTTGGCTTGGCTTTCGTGACAATCAGCAACAGGCCTGAAGCTCATTGAGGCTTCGGAATTACTCGAGCACACTAACGTATTTTCAGCAATAATCAGTCAGAAGTACTGGAGAGAAGTTGATTGTTCCATAAGTTTTGGTAGTTCCAGGCTACTTACCGAAAACCATTAAGCAATGACTTCAAACAGATCTTGCATCATAGACAAAACAGAATTTGAGTGTGTAATGTCATGTTTGAAATCGATTGAACTGAAGCCACAAGACGTCACCAGTACTGTTAATTTCCGATTTCAGAATACCTGAATTACGAAGACGGCAAGTTCTCCAAGAGCCGGGGGATCGGCGTGTTTGGCGACATGGCCAAGGACACAGGCATCCCTAGTGACATCTGGCGCTTCTACCTGCTGTACGTACGCCCAGAGACCATGGACAGTACCTTCAGCTGGGCAGACCTCATGGTGAAGAATAACAGCGAACTGCTGAATAATCTTGGTAACTTCATCAACAGGTGAATTAAATTAAAAACATTCAAAGTGATAGGTTTTTTCGGGGGGGGGAGGTTACAAATAGTTCTGAAGTTTTACCAAATTTTTGTAATGATTTTAGGAAAGTGCTCAGTCGACTCTAACAGTCTGCCCTCTTTCAGTAGCCTGTAACTTTTATTTTTTACTTGCAAAGATTGAGTTATTAATCTAATTATTAAATTAGAATTAAATCGTAAACAGAAAAATTGTCAACGAAGTAGGGCATGTGTTCTGTTGAGTGATACCTGTGGCCCTCTTTCGCACTTTTGTCTGCCATTGAACATCTTGATGTTGGACTGTGTGCACAGGTTTGCCAACCTTTCAATCTCTGTGTGGGTCCTGAGAACAAAGCAGGTCAACATGGTGTAGTTTGTGTCATCCTTATGTGTCTGAATCGTTTCCACACAAGGCTTCCCTTTCTCTGAAAAGAACAGTGCTAGAGGCAGTTAGGAGTTAGGGTTGCAAAACGAAGAGGTACGGCCAAGGGAACCGTCAACATAAATTGTTCATAAAAAGGTTTTGGGGGACCACCCCTACGCAAAAGTGTTCATTAGTGATCAGATTCAGGGAAAATGGAAATTAATTTAAAATGCAAATAAATTGTTTGCATGACTTCTGTTTTGTCTCTTAAAATAGGACCCCTCTGAAAATGAACCACTTTTTCACTCATCTTATTGAAAAGGTCCCTGACATTCCTCGAGAAGAATTTTGGCAGTGTCGTCCCCGAGATGACCCTGGAGGAGGACGACGAGCGGTTGCTGGCACTGGTCACTCGCGAGTTGACCTCCTACAAGCAGCTGCTGGAGAAGTCCAAGATCCGGGATGCCCTGCGCCACATCCTCAACATCTCCCGCCTGGGCAACCAGCACATACAGGCCAATCAGCCCTGGGTGCTGGTCAAGGGTGGAGACAAGGAGAGGTGAGTGGGAGGGATCAGGCGTCGGCAGCAGTCTCGTGAACTTCGCCTGCAGAATGTGACTGGGTTCATCTTCCAGTATTCCACCTGGTGATGAGACCTCTAGGTGGACCTCTGCGCGTGTAAGCAGGGAGGTCATGGGTTCAAATACCACTCATGGAAGCCTGTTCCTTCAGTCGTTGTCTACAATCCTCGGGGTGAACTCTGCACTTGTAAGCATTGGGTCATGGGTTCGAATACCACCTGAGGAAGCCTAGTCTTTCAGTCTTTGCACACATTCAGATCGAATGTGTCTTCAGTCTTTTTTTTTTTTTTTACTTTATCAACAATAAAAAACTGACCTAATTAACCTTTAATTAGTTTTCCGTTGACCAAAAAGCTCTTGCCAAGCAGGATTCAAATTTGCAATTTCCAAGATAATGTACCAAAACTCTTCCAGAGAAGCCATTTATAATTTTGTTTGCTCCTCTCTCATAGTTCGTAAGTGTCTGTGTTCAGCTCACACTCAGAATAAAGGCAGTGACAGATATGGAGGTTCTAACCCTGCTTGTGTCAGTTTCCATTGTCCCTCCTGAAACTTGCTTTATTTTCACTTTGGCCCCCTTTTTCTGCTTCAGAGCCAGAGCGGGCGGCGTGATTGGCCTGTGCACGAACATCTCCTGCCTGGTATCCACCATGCTGCTGCCCTACATGCCGTTAACCAGCCGCACCATCCAGGAGCAGCTCAACGCTCCGCCGGAATGCAACGTCATCACTGAGAAGTTTGTATGCTACCTGGAGACAGGCCACAAGATCGGGACGGTAAGTGAAGATGGACCTGGAGAGGTTCTGCTGAGCTCAAACTTGGTTTTGTCCTCACGGTGCTTTTGGTTTCAGCCCACAAGAACAAGTTGTCCCTAAAGAAAGCTAGGGCGATTAAGCTAATTGACCAGGGAATGCGAGAAAAATGCCTCAAATTAGGGAAAGTCAGGGAATGAGATTGGCCCAAAAGAGAAAGTAGTCAGTATGTTATATTCTGACCACATCTGATAATTCTTCGACAACACTGTAGACATGTCAAACTTGAAATAGGTCAAAATAATAATCCTGGAATTTTAAAACATTGTCAAGTAAAAGTGAAGGAATTTAGTTATATTTTCATGAAATGATGCAGAGAATCCTGTAGGATTAATGGTTGAATGATATCATTTTTTACCTGTTGGGTTGAAACCTTTATTTTCAAAGTTAATTTCAAGTTCTGCTCCAACTCTGAGTACTGAATCCCATAAAATCCAACAGCGTGCGTATCCCATCTTTGCGTAATTACCATACTTTAGCGATATTAAAAACCTGGTGTTCTCCATTAATTTCGTTAGAATCTTACAGAAAAGTTGACTACTGCTGAAAAAAGATTTTGAAAATTAACCCAAAGGGAAGACACGTCTGTTGGGATGTCATTTTGGTTTTGACCAAGATTGTCGCTCTTTCACCAGCCCAAGCCACTATTTGGCAAGTTAGAACCTTCCCTAATTGAGAGTCTCAAGAAGAAATTCTCCGGTCAGCAGAAACAGGTGAGAACTTCCTATTTTTTCTCCTCGGGATTTGTCAAATTTAAAAATGTCCTTCTTGGCCGATTCATTCGTTTTAAAGTTCTCAAACTGTGGCCTCTCCAAACTTTCACCGAGCAATGTAAAGAGGTATTTATAAATGGCCATAGTATAAATTATGCTGTTCCCAGAGTAGTGTATTTTGCTCAGCTACATGAAATTACCCGCTAAAATGTTTAGAATTCAGTCATAGTATAAGACAGTCGGATTCCATTCCATTTTTTAATGTGATTTTTCTATATCGGACTTTGTATTACGTAACATTTAGGGTAACAGATTAGGTGAACACATTTTTTGTTTGACATGGGAAAATATTTTCTACTTGATACTAATTCAGAATCCTTTTAGGAGCAAACAATTTTTTTCAAACATTTCAACCTTTTCCTCCATATTCAGTGTTGAAAGTTATTGTACATAATTCTTCATGTCGATGAAACCAAAATTAGAAGTCAATTCTGCAGTGGTACCTCATTTGCAAGCAGGTGGTACACATTCCTCTTACACTGGTAGGCTGTGCGCGAGCTCTCAAGTTCAAGGATTACCTCGCATGTGGTGGCACCGAGTAATGGCATCTCCTGCATCTCCTTAGAGTAGTTTAGTGCAACAGTAAATGTTGAACATGATACACAACGTAGTGGAAGTTGGTATTTTTTTTTCTGTTGACACGTGTCACATTCGCACTGTCTTATTACACAGGTTGGTGACTCTGGTGACCCAAAAGCAGCACCAGTTAGTTCAGTGCCCGTTGACGGCCCAGCTGCACCGGCTGGCGATGCCAGTGAGGTCAAACGGCTGACCGATGAGGTTGCCAAGCAGGTTAGTTGCTCCTGTTAATTTATATTTGTTGGCACCAAATTTATACCAACTAACCTTGAAACCACCCTCCCTACATGTTGATGATGCGCAGTGGACTGGTCAGCTGACCCTAGAAAGATCGGTGTTTTTTACAGAGAGACCTCTACAGCTAGCAAGCAGGAAGTTATGGGTTCAAGTCTGATCTGAGCACACTGTGAATTACTTTTCTCACAAGGTCATGAACTACGGAGACTGCATGTTATATTTCAATGCTGGAGCAGAGCCATATGTTGAACACAGTGTATACGAATTGCATAAATCAGAAAATCAAGACTGCCAAATAACTCTGAAATATCTAACTTGAAAGTATGGGACAGCGATAGTAAAGCTGTGAAATCTTTGCTTCCAGAATGCAGTCATTTTTTGCTCTTTGACGAAGTTCTCCTCCGCCATGTCCATAGTGAATAGAAATATTCTTATGGGTAAGGCTTTTAGGTAATAGCAAAATGATCCTGCTGTTGACTCTTTTTTAGGGAAACATCGTGCGCAAGCTGAAGTCAGAGAAGGCCGACAAATCAGAGATCGAGAAGGAGGTGAAGAAGCTGCTGGCCCTCAAGCAAGAGTTGGCACTGACCTCGGGTCAGGACCCGACCCCTGTGGAATCCTCCAAGGGGAAGAGGAAAAAAGGAGGAAAGAAGAAAGAGGAAAAATCAAAAAACTCTGAATGAGATGAACCCGGGTCCAAGTTACCGAGGCATCTGAAGTTGTTATATTGTCAGGTGCAATAGCCATGCCTTCATTTCAGGCCATCGTGCAAAACTTCATCCCTACTTTTATGGGGTTACCAAAAACTTTGGAAAATCAGTAATTTTTTGATCTTGAGTTTTTCCGGCCACTTCATCTGATTTGATGGAAAGAACAATTCAACAAAGTTTCCAAGCAAAATGATGTTTACTTTTTTATGATTGTAAACAAACATTTGAAAAAACTCACCTCATTAACAGGGCAAAAAGGGGACCATACATTATTCTGCATGAATCAGGATGCGAGCCTATATATGCACGTAAACAAGGTTGAAAAAGAGCATGTGTACTCTTGTTTAAATGTAACAGTAATCTGAATATTATCTCATGAATTTATGTTTTCACAAAGTGACAAGAATATAAAGATCTTCACGGTTTGCTTTTGTCATGAAGTGAAGGAAAATTTTATCAATGAATTACTGTTTAATGAAGACATTATTTCTACAGGATAGTTTTGAATAGCAGTGAATAAAGCCAAACAGTGCCAAAATTTCCTAAATCCAAAGTAACCAAGTGCATGTAGTAGAAAGTGTATTGTGAAATGTGAGGATATTTCCCAATGCAGTTATCTTGGATTGTCCATTTTGCACGATACAGAAGTTTTGTCACTTGGTGAAAACACCATCGATTCACGTTATCAGACGGAAGAATCTGACATGTATCTACTGTGCGGATTTCTATTTCTATCATGGAGCATGGTGTAAAGCCTTATTAACAGACTATATTAGAGTCGTCATATTTACCCAGTAATTTTTTTCCCTCAGGGAAGTTGGACAAGAATTTTTACTTGGGAAAGACTTGAAAAGTGCAGTAAACGATCTGTTTTTGTGAAAGAAAGTACTGTTTGTTTTGACACAGAATGCTTAAATGTGGTCTTAACTTCAGACACCTTTAAACCATTTACAAATACAGAAATGTATAATTTCTTACAGTACTTGTAAGTTGCAGTGGGAAGTCTGTCTTACATGGAGGTATAAAGTTTGACAGCATCTGCTAAGATATTTTGTATGCTGAAGTGAACATCCTGTAGCTTCCGGTTTTGTTGCAATCTGACGCACATTCACGTTTTCTGTAAAACTGTCACCTCAAGTAATATCATTTATCAAAACTTCTTTGCCGCATTGAATTTTTAAGGTTGTAAACTGTGCTAGAATTGCCTTTAAAATGGCTACTTAATCAGACTCTTATTCTGAATACTGATATTTTACATACGCACAAGTGGAAATCCCTAGTTTTCTTCTTGCACTTTTATTCAAAGAGGCTAAATGTCAATGCCCATGAAATTTTTTGTCAAATCCATCAAGTGCACAATTTTGTACTTGATCAAATCAAAAATATGTACTCCAGCAAGCTATCTAATCATTTTGACAATGAAATAGTCAGCGAGTGTTATGTATCGGCCATAATAGTGCAAATTTTGTTAACAATGAAAGCTTTGAAGGTTCAGAACTCAAATTGGTTGAGACTAAACTTTGTGTCAAGTTGCGGAAGGGTTTTGTTGATCAGTTTGTCAGAGAAATGTTTGTATGTTGGTAATTTTCCTTGATGATTAAAATCTGGTGAAACATGAATAATGTTTCTTACCTTAACAATCATTTAAACTGTCCAGATGGGACTACAAATTGTTTCCTATGACAAACCTATGATAAGACGCCTTTTCATATATTACATGCAACTTCTAACCGCCCAATTCTCTGGAATTTTACAGACCAAGTATTCATTGACTGATAGCAGGTAACTGATCACTAACAGCGGTAAAAGCTCCCTCAATTTAAAATTATGATCTCGTAAGTTGAGAAGGGAGCAACCCTGCTTGCTCCGTTAATGGATTCTAAACATGGATTACAAATTTCGTCATTTCCTGTGTGCCACTAAAAAGGGATGCATTCCCCTCCAACAGTGCTTTTATGCTTCTGTTACAATTGCGGCTTTATCGGATGACGAGACGTACAGGGCATTGTCAAAGCCCGCCGGCGTCTCTGCAGCAGGTGACGTGGTGCCAGCATCGGTGGCTTTGGCGTTGAGGCTGTTGCGTTTGAGAACAAAGACGACGACCATCGCCACCAGCAGGACAAGGACCAGGATCCCCAGAATGATTCCCACGACGCCACCTGCACTCAGGCCTATCAGCAAAATAAACCCACAAAAATACGGAGTTGCTTCACCAAATTAAGCCCAGTAAATACCTGTACTCATTACGCACTTGAAACACTCATCTCCATGTAATCAAAACTGTTGATTGCTTCTTGGCTATTCCATGCTATACAAATGCTTCTTGGCTATTCCATGCTATACAAACGAGTTCAGCTACACAGCAGTTCTCAATCACCTTTTGGACAGGGTGGAAGAACCAATCTCAACCACTCCGAATCAGTCCAAAAAATCCCTACAAATCTATAGATTTTGGAGTGGTAAATGGTAATATAGGAAACTGACCCCACCTCTGACAGTCAATGGCCCACTGATCTTTGCTTACATGGAAATACGTCGTTTGAGACTTGGCATTTTTGTAATCCAGGTATGTTCGTCGTTTTAGAGATTGTTTTACAATCTTACCTCCGGTCTGTGGTGACTTCGTCACTTGCGGCTCTCCGGTTGAATTTGTCACTAGATGGGAAGGGGGGGAATAGAGATTATTGAAATGAGTCACTAGAGCCAATGGCTGATCTTTAAAAGACATTGAAATTATTAAAATCCTTGGAATCTGCAGGCTTGAGGGGTTTTTCTTTTCTTATGAAGAATTCTCCATAGGCGAGAAGGAAAGAAAGTAATCGGTATATTTATTTATCAAATATTTGCACCAAAACCCTAAGGAAACAATACCAGCTAATTAAGACGAGGATGCCAGGACCTTGAGTAAGGCTTTTTGAATTTTTTTTCTCCCCCAACATCATGCTGAACGAGTCCGAAGCCGCATTCGCTTTTGAATTCCCCCCCTACACACACAAACAAGTGTGTATTTGCCTGCAACTGGGGACCCCCTATTGTTCCTCTTTTGTTTGTACTTTAACTTTTTTAGAAGACCACCCATGTGTTTTGTACACAGTTGTCAATCGGGGACCCTCTGTCAATCGGGGACCTTATTGTCCGCTATTGTTCAGGGTCCCCAACTGAATGCAGAAACAAACTCATGTACACACACACACACACACACCAAAAATTACATCCTTTTAATGTGACTGAATTTGAATTAAACCTGAATGTTGTCGGGGATTGCAACCTATGACCCTCAAGCAAAGTGTACCAAGCCCCACCAACTGGGCTATCTGGCTACCCTTACATTTGGCGATAAGTGATTTCTCATTGGTGGTGTGACTCACTCTGTGGCATCTTGCAGACATAATCGGCCTGGTCCGTGCAATGTTCATCATTCCACAGGCCGTACTGCTTGGTGTACATCTCAACACACAGCTCCTCGTTATTGTTGGGTTCACCTTCCTTCCAGTAGACAAAGTCCACCGGCGTGCCATCGGTCCATTCCAAGCCTGGAAGAGTGGGTCACGCACACAGGACGAAAATTCTTTCAGTTACAAAAGATTGGATGGCCCATTTGTATTGCAAACGCAGTCAGTGTTGCACGCAAGTCTCCGTGAATTACTTAAAAATCTATTTCAGGTCTCCAAGTCTTAAGTGTGAAATATAAATTTTGTAACGTCAGATAAAATATTTAGGCCTATGCTGCAAATTTACAAGAGTTGAAAACCTTACAACTCCAGTGAATTTCGCTTCAAAAGATCTCATGCCATTTGCTTGGCTTTCCTTCCACATATGCCTGACGCAGGAACCGAAGTTTATGTGAGAATAGTGTGATTTGGCCGGCGGCTGACCTGCTCTGGATTTCTAAATTCACGTGAGACTTCAGATTGACACAATTCTTTGAAATTGTTTTCTTTGAAACTGACTCGTGGTGCACTTGGCTGCAACTCAGGCAATGTTGTTGGGATTTTTTGAGGCAATTCAGTGTCAATGGTGCATGGGTTTCCTTGTTTTTTGCAGAAAATGATAAATTTTGGCACTGTTGTGAACGCAGTGATGTTGGAAAACGACGAGCATTAACAAACAGTAAGGCCCTTACATTATACAGGGTGATTAAAAAACGGTAATCCAACTTTAAGGGGTTAATACGACCATGCTGTATACCTTTCAGCAAGGATCATGGCATCACTTGAAAGTAGAAATTACGATTGCTAAAATGACACGGGTTTCCTGTCGGGGGCCATGCATGATTGAGCACCATCACCCAGAATTTAGGGTGCAAAAATGTGCCTGGTTCAATTTTATGCGAAACAAAATCAACACAAATTCTCATTTAATGAAAGATTATTTATTCATTTAACACACATTCATCAACATCCGTCCTGAGTAAAAACCTCTGGTCCTGTTTAAGCTGGTTCCATGTGTTTCATACTTTTTGACACTGGCCCGGATTGTTTTCTCTGCTAGTAGTTCTCTGTCTCTGAACGCTTCTCGAAAAGCATCCTGTGTGGCTTGCAAACTTTTGGTTGCTCAAAATGTGTTTACCACAAAAATTCTCTGCTCAGAGGTTAGCTGCACCATTGTGATACCAAGCTTTTTTGATGGCCAGAATGGACATGCCAGGCCTTTTGAATAAACCCCATTGCATATTAACCAGGCAAGACATTATTCACAATCAAGGTGTGGCAGTTGGTCAAGTGAAATGCAACGAGGTTTAAGTAGTGAACCAGTGCAGTTTTGGTGCCATGATTTCAATCCATTGGTATTCACTTATGCAATAACATGATTAGGTAAGAAAGGTGTCAATTGAAAGCTCTTATCTTCAATTTTATTGCTGTGGCCTTCAACATGCTGTGTGAGATGCTATATATCTTTACCCCTTAAAGTTGGATTACCTTTTTTGAAACACCCTGTATTTCATTTTCATGAGTTTTTTTTTATTTGCCAACTTTGGTGGGTTTTTACTCCATATTATATATCAAAAAGGTAGGTTGCAAAGATGTCTGCCTGTTACCATGGCAACTCTTACCTGATCCTTGCAAAATCCAATTTTAAAAGAAATCTCTATGATAGAGGGACACCTCCAGCAAAGAAACGGGACTAGAAATGAAGTCCTAACTTACTACCACCGTGCAGTAGGACTGGACTTGTCAAAATCCTTCCTTGTCAGTTTGTCGCCTACAGAATTACCCTTTGCCAACTCCTTAAACTCAAAATCAAATTAAACAAAATACTTATAAATAACTCATCAGAAATACTGGAACGTTTTGAAGGTTCTAAATTACCCTGATTTCCCTTCTGGAGACCAATCCACAGGTTTCCAACGAAGGTCGGATCAACAACGTTCGTAAGAATGAAGTCGTTCTCCTGCTTGGAGTGGATGCTGGCCAACTGCGACCCGTAGAAGCCTTCGCAGTCGGCCTTGGCGTCCTGGAAGGAGCCCATGGTGTAGGTGGGGTCAAACTTGTAGCAGTACTGACCGAAGGCCTTCCAGCCGTCTGGGCAGTAGCCCTGGGGAGGGGCAACCGTGGACGGTCTCTCGGCTGAGAAAAGGATAACCAATGAGAGAAAGGAAGATAAAAGCGAATGTACATCCCATCTCTGCAAGCAACCTATTAGGATATTTTGTGACTTACAGCTAACATCGGCTCTGCCCTCACTCTGCTGGTGAACGCTAAAGTTTGCCCAAAGCTGAACCACCACCTTCTTGTAAGTCAATTTCAGTTTGGAATGCCCAAAATGATGATGTCTTTTCTTTGTGCTACAAACAGAAAACCCAACTGGATACCTATATTATGCACACCACCAGATTTGGGAGTAGGGCTGAGGTTGGCGTCCAACCCCTCTCCCCAACTCGTGGGCTGCTGGTGACACCCTCCTAAAACCAGTTTGTCCCCCAAAGACCAAAATACTTCTGACTATAGACGGCCGCCATTTTGAATTACATATTACTATCACTCTATTATTAAACAATGACCTAATTCTGGTGTCACGAGGCTCTTGACCTTTTTGTTTTCTGGTTGTAACAAGCTAACTGGCTATTTCTGGCGACCCCGGTATAACAATTAGAGCTTGGAGCCTAACAAAACCATCTCCCCTGTTGTAAACTTCCGAGGCTGTGATTGTGATTGTGCAGTCAAACTATATCCATCCCCTGGTCCTCTTGCCCTTGATAAATGGAAAGAAAAATCATGCTTTATGGTTTTATTTGATGCCACGAGTGAACATATGAGATCCGTCTCATACTAGCCGTCGCCTGGCCCCCCGGCTGACCTTACCTGAGTCGTATTTGCACACGAATGATTTACGCGCCGTGCAGAGCGTGTCGTCCCACCGTCCATCCGCATCGGTCATCACACAGCCTTCCCCTGGGCCGCCGGATGGTTCGTTCTCGTCCCAGGCGGAGAACAGCACGGGCCAGCCGTCTACCCAGCCATAGCGATTTGTCGTCTGCGGATACAGATTTTACTTGAGTACTTTTTAATGAGAAAATGAAGAGGCAAAGATATACCAAGAAAGAATAAGTAAGCTTTGAGCTTGTATTTCTATGTAAATCAGTAACAAATTGCTCAAAATTTTTTTCCATGCGCTGTTAATTGATTTTGTCTTTAAATTTTATATTTCAAAAGTGTTTCAAACACTCTCAGGGTGTTCATGTAGAATTGGCTATCAGGAAATTCATGCCTGAATGTCGTCTTTATTTCGGGACCTTACCCTGTCGAGTTCCATACCGATCCACATTTCGTTCACGTTTTCATAGGCCATCATCGTCTCAACCAGAGCTCTTTCAAACTCGTTCTTGACTGACGCCAGGTAGATGCCGTCCATTTCGGCCTGACAGGTTGCCTTGGCTTGCTCGAAAGCCAACTGTCGGTCGTTGAACAACTTGAAGCAAGCCGTGCCATAGCTGAAGTAGCCCTGTTTACAGTCGCTGAAGTATTCCGGATTAGGGTCGTACTGGGTGTCTGAAGAGGGAGGTACCATAGTTAAACAGATCAATATTTCAACCGTGGAGATATAAATAGAGAGGAGTTTTGTGAGTCATAGGAGCTGGCAAGTTCCTGCTTGAGCATCAATCAATTCCAGCGTACACAGCTTCTCGTGTGTGTACAAGATTTTGTTGCTTTCTATGTGTGTTGCTTTTGAGCACTCGCATTCAGTGTCCTGAAAATAGCTCTGGGAACTAAATAAGTGAATTGAAAGACGTTCTGGAACATCCAGATCAACTTAAAATGCTGTGTCCTCGACAAGTTTGCCGACAAGCGTGGTGCAACCCCAGAGGAATTATGGGTATATATCCCCACCCCACTAATTTGACCAGGGGGATAGGCTCTTTGATAATCTCAACTTTTGAGGAAGTGACGAAAAGAAATCACATTGTAATGTTCTTTTGTTACATTTTCCAAAGCAAAAATGACAAACAACTGGAACAAAAACTTTAAACGGCCATGACCATGTGATGTTAAGGCATCAAAGCGCAGAAATGTACATGATGTTCCCCCTTTTCAAATTTCCTCGGCAAGACAGTTTTAGGATTTTGTTTGTCCCCATCCATCCCGCTCGCCAGTATATAACTGACAGCATTGAAGGGGTTATACGTAACTCACCCACATCCATCATACAGGCATAGCCGTACTTGTCACTGCACATGACGTCATCCCACACGCCAGGGTGGGCTGGGTTCCTCGACATCTTCACACATTCGTCCCCATCCTGCGAGTCAGGAAAGCCATCTGAAATTGTATCTTTATTCCAAAGCAACAAGTTGCTCTTCCGTGCGCTTGGAGTTAAAAGTGAGATGGATGAAATGAGCGTGATGAACTGATTTTGTAGAAGGCGGAGAAAACGCCACTGGTTACATTTTGCTATTTAGAATTTCGTGAGGACGGATTGTAATTACGGAGAAACGAGAATTTTTGTGATGGCCTAGGGCAAGAGGAATGTGGTTATTGGTGTGATGTGAAATGACAAAGAAAGGCAGGTTTTGAAAAGCTCAGAACATAAATTACAAAAAAAGACAAAATAGACAGGAGTCTTCCTCTCAAACCTGTCACTTTCACAGATGAGATTATTTTACGAAACTTTTCTATGAAAACTGACCGTGTGGATGCATTACTGTTGCCCACTATGGACGATTTTTGTTTATTTAGATCTGATTTTCTGAGAGAGAGAAAGAGCAGCTTACGTCATCCAAGAGACTAGGGTTTTGGCCCATCCAGTTCGTGAATTCCAGAGAGGAACCATCAACCCAGTAGAAGCGTAGCCCAGTCCCGCGGTCATTCAGTCCGATCCACACATCAGTTGAATAAAAGTACATGAGGGCCGTCAATAAGCCTGCCAGAAAAAATTGAAAGGAGTGTTTTCGAATGCATTTTTCTTTTATTAAGTTGTAACACGTTTACTTTATGCTGAGGACTTTACTACAAACCGGCATAATTATAATTTTAACAGAACACAAGAGCGGAGAGAGTAGCAGATTTACACATCAAGAATGTCTGTGAGAGTCAGGATGAACAGCCGGAATGAAATAGATGTGCATAATCAGATATAAAATGATATTCTAACACAAGTAACGAATTGTAGCAAAATCTTTCTCTACGTTTAGGCTTAGCGCATTTCACTCTTTTGACTTCACAGTGAGAGACAGAGTAAGAAAAGAAATGAAATTGTCACTTAAGAGAATGGAAACTTTTATCGAGAAGCAGTTCTGTGGGTTTCACATAGCTACATTGTGTGTTTTTAGAACTGAAGTGTTCTAGAATTTAATGAAACCTGTGATATTTTATCCACGATGGCTTTTCCAAATTTTACGAATTCACTGGAATGCAACCGACGCTTACACTGGACATTGTGGTTCGGAATCGTCACCAGCTCCCCCTTCTGGTACTTTCGGCACTCCTGCCGGGCTTCGTCGAATGTCTTGATGTCGTTTGACTCGTCGAAGATCCGGTAGCACTTGCTGCCCATCTTGACCCAGCCGTCCATGCAGCCTCCCGGCTTGGGCGTGGTCGGGGCATGAGTTACGGGGGTGGTGGCGTCCTTGGGCTTCTTGCAGACGAACGGCAGGGACTCCCCGCAGTTCTGATCGTTCCACGTCCCCTCTTGAAGAAGACGAAAGGCATGGGGAACGGGAGTAAAACTTCCAGGAGCAATTAGTGAAACTGGGTGATGAAGATTGACTTATAGTGGAGATGGTTCACTACTATGAAATCAATTCATCAAACTGTCGATAACTAACTCTGATTCGAACAATAGACATCTACCTCTTTAAAGCATAATCAATGTAATAATGCTGACTAGATATCAGTAGTACTTATTTCATTGCCTCGAAAATTGTCTTACTCTTATAATTTGTTTTCTTTGTATCACTGATATCGAATTGACTTTTGCTTCCGGATAAAATGAATCAAACCTGGCTGTATTTCATACCTGCCCACATTTGTACGCATTGTTCTGATCCATCTGCATCATTTGGTTCGTTGTTGGCCCATCTGGCGTAATCGACAACCGAACCATCTGACCATCTGTGGTATGAAGATGGAAACCGCTATTTATCACAGCCATGTAGACACGCACGGCGTGCTGTTTCATCTTCACAGTTGCCATTGCTTTCACAGTGCATTTGAAAATGAGATATTCTCTTTACCGTCCAACTCAACTTTTTGTCAGGGACCCTTGCTAGCTATTGAAGGTATTCACATGAAGTCACAAGAAGACTGCAAACCTGGTTGTCATGCTCTTGTTTGTCTTCATGAGTCGAGTCACTGACTAGTTTCCGAACTCAAGGCAACCAATTGAGTCACAAACCTTTCGAAGAACAGTGGAGGTGGTAGCAACTCAGTTTTTGCAAGTCCAAGTCAAGTCACACGTCAATTTTACGAGTCTAAGCCAAGTCACTAATCATTTGGACCAGTCACAAGTCCAGTCCACTCCAGTCCAGTCAAGTCAAAAGTCAATTTGGTTTAAACACAAGCAAGTCACAAATATTCTTGTGCAAGTACAAGTCAAGTCGTTCAATATATTTTGTCTAGTTATAATACGTAAACGGGGCAGGGCATCAACTTAAAACTTACAAGTCTTAGACAAATGAACTTAACTCTAACGAAGGGTCGTGTCCGAATTTTCACTTTGCTACGGCCTGAAACTACGCACAAGTGCTCGATAGTGGCCAGCCGCGGCCATGGACTGAGTCATGTGTTATTTGAAGCCACAGCCAAGTGATTCAGACATGGCTTTAGGCAGACAGCACTAAAGTAGAAGTCGCGAGCCAAACGAAATCCTACACTGATTATTTTTAAGAACGTTAGGCGTAAGTTGATAGGCATAATATAAAACTACAATGAGTAATTTTTGACTTGCGTTGGTAACAAGTTATAATGTGTCAAGTCAAAAGTCAAAAACTCAGTCAAGTCACGAGTTTAAAAATAGCGACTCGAGTCCTTCTTAAGTGATTCGAGCCTACAACTCTGATGAACAGGGACCAAATCGTGGTTTGACTTGAAAGTGACTTGAGAGTTTGACTTGTGATCGACTTTGTTTTGTCCCCTGATCAGTGCACGGTGAATTTGACTATAACACTGAATGATTATACGGCTTTACATGACACAAAGAAGCAGAGGAGCTAATCATGACCAAACTTCAATAGCAACTTGGAAAGGTCTGAATGAGAACTTGGGACTTACTTATAGTCGCCTTCTACAGCATATTCTCGAAGTCCAATCCAGTACGACTGACCCACCAAATTGTCCCCGATCTAAAATAATAGAAAACATAAAATTGATGTTAAACTAAAGAAAAAATATGACATACATCCAGTGGTGTTACTGGTTCAGGGAGCAAATTGTATTTTTTTCAAGAACGACTGCCCATATTTTATTGGTAGAGAAGAATTCTCACTCCCCCCGAAATAAAGGTGGCGGTGTCGTTGCTACTTTGCCGGTGCTTTCAAATACTCGCACTAAAAACTACATTTCTCTAGAGCTGGGCTGCATAAATCTAAGAACAGCTTCTAACTTCTGAAATAAGAACATATTTCACCCTACCCGATTTGCTGCCTTCAGATGTTTTCAATCCTTCATTCCTACATAACTAAAGCTCCCCCAAATCTAATTTTTTTTCTAGAATTTTAATCAATTCCTAAGTAGTCCACGACGTAAACCGTGCCATTAGCATTTCTCATCTTCTTATGTCAAAACATAAACAGTTTGAGGATGGTAATTACTTCGCTGCATATATGGGTATTTGAAATGAAAAGTTAGGCGATCATTCATGGGACTGCAACGAAAAACTAAGAAATATACCAGACGCAAGATGTAGTTGTTCTCATCGGCACTGTGAATGGACACAAGATGACCGCCCTTCTGATGACAGTATTCCTCGGCCTGGTTCCAGTCTCTGCGTTCCTGCACCAAAAGGCTGATGTAGTAGCAGTCGGTACCCCGCAGGTACCAGTCCGGATCAGAGGGACACTTGTTGTCTGATGAATGAAGAAAATATACTTGGTAACTTTGAGATCTTCGCATGTGTGGCTAAAGAAATCATGAATTGAATGCAATATTGTTTAATTGCACTCTTCGCTCTTTCTTCTCCTGATTACTTTTCTTCTCCTGAAACTTTTAAGGGGGTATTTGCAACCCTTGAACAATGATTGTGGGGTGTCGTCGGGTGGGGAGGAGGGAACCAGTCCTTTCAGAGGGGCAAACCATTAATCAGCTGCAAACTGACAAACCTTGAACAGTGGAAGAGCCTCAGGTCCATGATATCAACAAGAAAATAGGTAATTTTAATCAAATTTCGTCCTTCATATTCGGTTTATTTCTTGTACTTTTCCTTTCTCCCTTCTTCCCTCGTGCATTTTTTTAAGGGGGAGGGAGTGCCCGTGGCAATGGTGTTGTAAACTCCAATACAAGTCACAAGTAAACTCCTTTCACAAGTCCCCGTCAAAATGTTACAGGGTGGTCGATGACACGGGAAAGTTATTGCCCGAGTTCATATGAATAATTTGGGACTTGACATGATACAGGACGAGCAAGCACTCGACTACAGCATTGCCCCTGAACTCTAGTTTTGTCCAACCTCGAATAGTGCTATTCATAAATTAGACCAGCTCCACATACTTACTTGTGACTGGAGTAGTTGGTGGACGAACGGGGACGTCTATGGAAATGCGAAAATGAAGAGATACAGATGTGTTGTAAACCGTGATTTGAATATCAAAACCTGATGGTGTTTCAACTCCACCTCAAGTAATCAAAGGGCAGGTTCAAGACAAACTCATTCACATATTTGATTCCATTCAACCAGGAAGTTCCAACTAACACACGAGTTAATTTCAACACTAGGGAAGGCACACCCACAAAAGCTTCAGTGAGGAATTAACACAAAGACACGTGGCACTGTCAGTAGATAGAGACCTTGCGGTGTTATGTTAACACCGCAGTTTTGCAACGTGAGCATGAGAAAAGTCACATTATTGAGTCTACAGACTCTCAGATGGACAGGTCCCGAGTATTTAGCACTCGAGGAAGAAAACTTTCACTTGCAGTGCAAACGTTGAGTTTCAGGTAAGTTTGACATTTGAGGGAATATGTTTGCGATATTTGTTTCTGAAGTTTAGGAGTGAAGGTGATCTTTTCGTATTTCAAGTTACCATTGGCAGATCCAAAGGGGGTATTTTCTTTAAGTATACCAGTAAAGAGAGAAAGGAAATGTGTTTTCTATCTGCCTTTCTTATGCTGAGCAAAGCATGTAATAAGCCCCGAAAAATAGCCTCAGCCATTACAAAAGTCCATTTAGGGTTGTACAAAGAAATCCCTGAAGTTTAGGGCACAACACAAAAACAGGTGGATCCGACTGAAAAGTTGGTTCTGAATCCGGCCATGGGGGCAACAGGATGTCATGTCTATTGCTTACTCTTCGGAACTTCACAAATCCAATGGCGTTGGGCCTCGCAGATGATGTCGTTCCAACCCCGGCCGGGATTCAGGAAGACCTCCACACAGTTCTCATTTCCGTCGTAGTTGTTGGGCTCCCCTGGTCCCCAGTTTTCATACTCAACTGGACTGCCGTCACTCCACTGAAACCCTGAAATACCAAACCGATCCACAGGAGGTTAGTAATTTTGTACGACTGGAGACCATTTGGTGAGCTTGGTCAGCAGGGTATGGTGATTTTTTAAAAATGTGGGTGGGGCACACCGACTTACCTCCCTCATTAGCCTGGTCGTTAAGTCCTACCCAGTATCCATAGAGGTTGTCCGGAGACCTTACAAAACAGAGACAGTTTGCTTATAAGAAGGATTTTTGACAAGAATTTTTTTAACAATATAAAAAATCTTTGGGAAACAGGCCAATGAAAGCAGAAAGACTCAACATCAATTCTTTACATTTAAAATTCTTTTGAACTTCAGGACTTCAACAGGCATGACCAAAATCCAATTCAGTAACTGTCTTGCTATAAACGAGATAATTATTACGAAATCCTGAATTCTGAATATCCAAGTAAACTATGGGTGATGTTTTCTTCAGTTAGGTGCTTTTCAATGCCGAGTTGGGGGGGGGGAAGTCTTGGACAGTAAATGATGGTAACACAGAATACTACTGACTGAGCTAAGAAACTGTTGATGAGGTACTGTTCTTCATCGGAGGAGTGGTAGGAGGCCAGATCACCCTGTGAGTCATCGGTCTGCTCCTGGCAGAAAGTGCGCGCTTGATTCCAGGTCAGCTTCTCCCCGTCGGTATTGGCTTCGAAAACCTGGTATGAAATAAAACGAAAGACAGAGAGACAGGAAAGCAAAACCGTTTTTTACAAATTCCGCCAGCACAAGGGGTTCATCCTGAAGACATCTCGATGCATTTAGGCTTACTTAAACTACTGTTTTGATTTCGTTATGGACCAAGCTTTACTTAAGTAAGATGAGTTCAGGGAACACCAAACTTTGTTCGGTGTACCTTTAAAATTCAGAGAACATTTGTCTTTCATCCCCGTGTCATTGCTCATTTTACAATGGCATAGAAAGAAAATCGAAAACACTGACAGACTAGGGGGCCCATGGAGACCACGCCCCTCAAAAAGGAGCAATTAATTATTGAGGAAGGTATATTTCCTTTATTTCCCCCCAAAATGGTTCTGGATTCACATTTGACCGAGCGAATGAAGCACTCATGAGACTCACCCTGAAGCAGTAACTACCGTACCCGATCCAGCCTGCTGCGCAGCCGATGTTGGTGGGGTTGGTCACGGGCCCAGGGGGAGCCATTGTGGAATAGCCGGGCCGGGCTGACTCGCACACGTAGGGTAGGGACAAAGAGCAGGCCGTGTTGTACCAATAGCCGGCAGCTGGAGCTCCGGAGTTGATGGATACGCACTGTCCCATGCTCGAGTCTGCAAGGAAAAGTATGAACACGAGAGGTCGAACTTAGGCTGCATCCGAATCTCGTCTAGAGCTAGGTCTAGGTCTTCACTCCATTGGAAATGCGTGGAGACGCGTAGACAATAGACCTAGCCGTAGCTCTGGAAGCCCGTTTCGCACACGGCCTTAGTTTACTGACACTCCCCTCATAAATCTAGAAAAGGTAACAAATTAAACGATTTCGGAATTTATTTTTGACCTACTTACCAGATTTCAATAAACTACTTGGCTACTTCAATTTAAAACCTTCTGTGTGTCTTAAAAAGCCCATAAATTTGGGATCAGTGTCTTGTTTGATCGTTTTGCTTTCTAAAGCACTCCTTCGTTGTTTCAACTCTGCCTGTATGAAAATTGCTCATATATCTATTCAGGTTATACGAAGGCGAAGCCAGAACTAAATATGCAGGAGGACTTGTTTTTGAAGTTTGGAAAATTTGTCACGTAGGCCTAACCCATTATGACATTTCTACATGGGGTGAATTTACATTTTGGGTACTTTCTACTGGCTTTGGAAGAAACGGAATAAAAAAAGGACCCCCTCAAATCGCCTTTCCCTCATTTATATTTGAAATGTTAATTGGCTCTTCTTTTTGGCTCCCCTCCTGGATCCACCACGGCGTTACACCTTCTAGGGCAATATCTCTAAGAGACCATTCCTTGTCACCCTGTCTAATGAGAATGGGGATTAACATCAAATTTGAAGTCTTTTTGGGATGCATTGTTCAGACTGGCAATAAAGTATTGTATTGTAATAATATTGTATTGTAGATGCAATTTAGTTTAACGAAAGTCAACCTGAAGTACAAATTGTAAGGAGTTCTATTTGACTTAATTCTTATTATGACTTTTGAATAACTTTGCGGCCTCGATATCTCTTTACGGAGTGGTAAAAGCAGACAGGTCGAAAATTCGCCTGCCGTTGCGATCAGCATGCCTTGAATTTCTCCAGGTACAATGCCTGTCGAATTAGCGGCCTCTCAACCACTCACCGGGTTGGGCCTGCCCCCAGTTGGTATACGTGACTGGGGATCCGTCGCTCCATTCGTACAGGCCAGGAGTTGCCTGGATGCTGATACCGATCCAGACATTGAGCCCGTGGGTTTGAAGGCCAACCTGTGAATTGACGTATCCGGCATCATATCTGGCGGGAAGGGGAGAGACATGAAGACCAATGTTGGGTATTAATAAAGAGACATCGTGTTTCCTTCCCGTACCTCACTGCAAAGTTCAACAAATATGTACTTGAAAACGGAAGATGCGAAAGCACATGATTATTCCAAGACTCATAAGAGACAATCGAAACAGCTGAACGACAGGATTAGAACACATTAGATTAGCAGAAAAATAACGGAATTGTAAGGATGAAATTTCGACAAGAAAAAACTCTATGCCAATGACTTACATGTGGCTAAGTGAGGCCAGGTGTCCTCCCATGCTGGCGCAGCTGGTCTGCGCATCGTTCCACCTTCTTGAAGTCGTCTCAAACCTAAAGCATGATCCAAGATAAGCTTGCCAGCCCTGTGGAAGTCACAAAACAGACAATCGCGGCCTGTCAACGTTTGTACTTTTTGACAACTTGAAATGAGGATAAGTGAAAACTCCTGATTTGTTTTTAGAAGACGTCAATCATCTTTGACGAGTTCCAAGACTTTTAATCGAAGGAGTTTGGGTAAATCTTTCAACAATTAATACTACTGCACAACTTTTAAGGAGGGTAAGTAGACAGGGTTACTTTAAGGGACGACATTATGTCAAAAGTGTATTCTTTTCATGTAAAATTCGATTATGTTTTGCAGTTACAGTGACCAGCCCTTTCGAAATGTAAATCCAGAGCTAAAAGTTGCAATCTTGATGTTTCGATCCTTGCAAACACTGTATGAGAAATCTAACAGAAAGAGAGAATACTTTATAGGAAATACAACAGTAAGGGAGATGAAGGAAAAATTGGATGAATTTCTACCGACTGGCATCCAGTGTTCAGGGGCGGCGTTCCTGACGGCCCTTTACGGATTTTGCAAACGGACGGATAGTATTGACCTGTACATGGTGAATCATTCCATTGGCCCTGGGGGTAGAACACACATCAAATATTAATCAATATGAGGAGACAAACTTTAGGCAGTTTTCATCATATTTGTGAAAATATATCTAAGTTTAAAGGTAGTTTGCTTTTTTGACAAGGATCCGAACTGGTGGTACCAATTTTCAAATTGCCAGACAAAGCCCTGTTCATTCATGCCGCGAAAGCAAACAATAGTGGATAGTCCTTGATGCTGATTTTCAAAAATTATGCACAATTCAACGCAAGTGCATGTACGTCTGGTACGTCGAACTCGCTTCACTTTCATTAGCCTCAATACAGGTTTGCCATGCATTTTGCTCAAAATGTTTTCACATTAACCCTTGTCCTACTTTAATGTTATCATTTGTAATACTTAACAGACCTTGTCAAATCTGCTTATGCATTGCACAAAGCATTGGGCACTAGTTGCTTCATCGTGCGAGGCCTCAAAACCAGTTCATTATTTGGCACGAAAGCAAACACGAACGCCAAATTCTGACGTCGGACGTCTTTCGAGCTGCGCAATTATGCAGGACGAAAACGTCCATTCCAGCAAAATTCGTTGCAACTCTTTCAACACGTCAAATTTGCTTTGCTTTCATGGCTGTTTGAAGAATTAAGCGGCATTTACGTGGGCCAAGTATCAACGAATGTCTATAAAAAATAAATACTTTACAAACTAAAATCAAAAAATTATAGTTACACTGCTCATGTACATCTCAATACAATCCTCATCACCCGAATTGTTGGGCTCGTAATAGACCCAGTTGGTGAAGGTGACGTCACTTCCGTCCAACCACTCATAGTACATTTCAATATTGAGATCACTCATGCCCAGCCACGCACGTTGGGCATCTTGGTTTGTTAGCACTGAAAGTGGAAAGAAACACTGAATGTTGGACGTTTGAGGTTGATCGAGGGGAACTTAAAGTTATCTGCACAGGTGAGGGATTCGTAACAAGTACACAGTCAAAATCGAATAAAGATTGTGTTCACGCATTACTCAGGTTGGAAGACAGCTGGTATTAAATAACCAAGGTTACACACATGTCACTTTTACAGAAAGCTTTACAGAAAGACAAAAGAGAGGATTTCTCTTGTCCTTTAGCTTAAGTCTACTGGCTTTCAACATAGAAGCTAATTACAGCTAACAAAAGACAAAGCGAGGGAAAAATTAAACCTTTCAATTCTCCTTTCAGTTTAAGAGAAAAGGCTTAAGAGAAAAGGCTGAGATAGCTCAAATGTTACTGACTTAGGTCTGCGCGTTACTAGACCTACGTAACGGGAACAAGGCATTTCCATTGATGGATCGGGAGTCCGTTCGGGGTCATGCCCCTCCCCACGTTCATTATTATACACGAATGAAACGTGGGTTCTTGGGACTACTTCATGTCTGTTCCTTCCCAAAGCATGAAAAGCCATGCACAGCATTTATCCCTAGCCCTAAGAAAAGACATACAAGGTTTCGGTACTTATAGAATTTTTCAATATTTTGGGTTCGTGAAAACATTCAGTCCCCTGAAAAAATGGCTCTGGATTTGCCTTAAGGCGCCTTCCATATGCGCATTAAAACTTGCTCTAAGCGTTGCGTATCCGTCAAAATCGCTCCCGGGAGCGATTTTGACGGCCGAACTCAACGCACACTTGTGTTATGTTAAAGGAGTCAATTTTTGTGTCCGTGAAAGTGAAGCACATAAACGCATTGTGTACACAACGCACAAAAGGTACATGTAGAAAGGTGCCTTCAGGCGTTTTTATATTCGGCAATATCTTTCTGGAGCCTTTACCAATTTGGCACCTCAGAACAAGTTGTAAAGCTGAGATGTTCAGTCAATTCCAAGAAATAGAGTTTATTTTGTTGTTCTTTGTGGTTAATATTGCGGTGTAAGTTTTCCTAAACTAGAGCCAAGTTATGTCATTAAAATGACTAATTAACTGTATAATCTACCTTGGTTCAGAGCACTCAAGACGAAATTGTTCTCGTTCATGTTAGCAATGGACGCCAGGTTGGCCCCTCCCAGCGTATGGCACATTGTCTGGGCCGTGCTGAAGTCGGTCGCTCTCCGCTCAACCCGGTAACAGTTATCACCATACGGCAGCCAGTCATTACTGGGGCAGTTGTAGGTGGACGGCACCGAGGTAGGTGGTGCGTCGGTGGTTAGTGTAAAGTCTGAGCAGGGAGGGTCCAACAGGAATCATGCAGTTTAATGAAATGTGGATATAAATTGAATAAAAACAAACAAGTATACCCAAACATACGCAAAGGAAAGTAAACTGAAGAATCCCTGATTACAGAAACATCAGAAAGGTAAGAAATTACGATACAAGTGGGGAATTTAACAAAGTGTTGGGGTTTTATATAAGTTCAAAATGAGTTTCTAACAGCCTGATTGATTAAACCATATATTAATTCAATCACGTACATTACATATCAAAACGTTTTATAGAATGGTATTTTTTGTTCTTTTTAATATTTGGATGTTTAAAGCAAAACAAAAAACCTAGCACTTTCCAATTTAGTAACTTCCTTTTCATGCTAAACCTTCAATTTCAAATCCTCGTTTTCAGAAAAACTTGACAAATAGTTGTTATCTCTTGCAGAGGCATATGCTCATTCGTTTTTTCTTCAAGAGTCATAAAGCTCTATTCTCAAAAAAATTTGTAAATCGCCTTTACCCCTTTCGTAATAGTCGAACGGATCGAAGTCGTCAGTGGGAAACAGACCGTTGGCCGAATCCAGAGTGTTCAGTCTACACTCCATGTTGTTACGGCCGTAGTCGAAGGACCTGCACAAAGATCTCTTCACGCACTCCTTTGCGCACTCCTCCGGCCAAATGTTATTTAGAACCGTGGCGTCGGTTTGGGCAAGTTTTCTCAAACGGGACGGGATGAAGTAGGTTTGAATATAGGCTGATGAAATTGGGGACAGAAAAAAAAACGAGATTTCTCTGTTAAACATCGATGATTGGGTATAACGAACAAAACACATGCAATGAGAACAAACTTCGTTAAGTCTCAAATGAGCTGAGAACAGAACATCCATTTCAAAATATTTATTCTCTTACTTTTTTTTTAGAATTCCTAAACATTTTTTTCACCTTTGAGTGATCCACTGGACATCTTGACAAGAGTGACACTCAAAGCAAACAATTTCAACCTTTTCTCATGATAGCAAAACCTTTTTCCATAAAATATTACTCAAGTACATTTTGGTTCATGATTTTATTAGTATGGTAAATCAGTTCCTAATGTCTTTCATGCAATTTGAACCAATTATTCCATTCAAGATAGCGTTGAGATCACATAGAAATCTGAATTGACAGGTGATGTTACAGCATGCTTACCGCTTTGCTTGCAAGCATACATGCGCTCTGCAAAACATTTATTGTCGTTCCATGTACCGTCTGAAGTGTACAACTCCCCACAGTTCTCACCGTTTACTCCGTCGTTGTTTGGCTCACCTACCAGTAAAAAAAAAGGGGGGGGGGTCAAAGTTTAAACTGTTAAAATTGAGTTCAGTGACCAGATAATCCCAGTTGTGTGATTTTTTTATGAATTACGCCGATTGTGTTGATTTTAGATATTATACCGTTAACCTTTTACCTGAACGAATTAAAAATCTTGGCGACAAAACGTCATTTTTTTGAATCGCAGTATGTACTTTTAAAACCAACCCTGAGCTAGAATACAGAGTCAAAACAATAGCGAGTGTTCGTGTCCACTAGATGATGTGTGGTACATAGCACAAATGATATATTCCACGAGTTCTTGTTTTACTTCAGGTCGAGACGGGCGCATGACGAGTTGCAGGCGATACGCTGATCGCACTCTTGGCGCCAGAAATAAGGAAACGTTTGATTTACGCATGGAAATGCGTCACACTAACGCCTAGCAAACAGCTGAATAATAGTGCCGAAAAGATAGAACTACCAACGCAAATTACGACTTTCTTGAAAAAAATGGACATTTGCAACTTCTTATGTATGTTTACTTATGAAAAAACAAAACCAGCATTTCAAATCATGCATGTGCGTCTCTGCTGTAAAGTGAACACTACAGAAATTGTCAAACATTCAAATGTATTTTTGGAGACATATTTTTTACAAATTCTGTGTGAGATGATCGTGTGATTTTTAATGAACTCACCTGCGGCCCAGTTGATAAATCTGAACGGGGAGCCATCAGTCCAACGGAATCCACCCTCCGAACTCAAGTCATCGGCACCGATCCAAATTGCTCCAGTGGACAGGAAATTAGCACGAGCTGAAGATAGAAAATCGATATCGCGGCAACTGTCCACCAGTCATTTATCTAGAAATGGCTCTTCAACAGGGAATTTACTGGCAAAATTGAGTTTGTCCATTGTTTATCAACATCATTATCAGTTTGCACCCTCTTAAGATATTATTAACGTATCTGTCAATGCAAAAATGTGTTTTGATTCTTGCAGCATTTAGATTAATGCACGTTTTAGATGTACAGGGTGTCCACATAAAAGTATATCGAGATAAAAATTACTGTAATGGAAAAATTACTTGATATATTGGAAAGAACAATGTATCTCCATAAAGGGCAGAATGCCCTCATTGCAATGGTATACAGCTTGTGATGTTATTGACACTGATGAGTGAACAGACTAGACCGGTGTTAAGGGTACTGAAATCAGCACTGTGACAAGTTTGCATATTTGATTAACAAGGCTAGACCATGCAAGTGTGCAGAATAGCAAATGCCTCTGCTTTAAGAACACATTCTTGAAAACAAGGAATGTACCTAAATAGATCTAATCTGCTTTGGTTTAGCTGCTTTACCTCGCAAGTTTAATATGCTGTACCCTCCATATGGCCACCATTCCTGTTAATATAAATCTGACATTTTTATGTAATTTTTATCTTGGTATACTTTTTATGTGGACATCCTTCATAGACTCCAAAGTGGCAGCTTACACTTGGTGAACTGTACGGCTTGCTCACTTGGTAGACCAACTGTTACTGTCACCTGTCACTGGCATATAATGCTTAAGTCCACTACCTGAATATCTTTCCTCAAAGGCGCCCACTGTGAGGACTGATTGAATTGAAGAAATGTGATTGGAGCACCTGGGGATGACATGCTCTAAAAGCTTGATTCATGGGTTCATTCCCTGATGTGTACGCTCATCTTTTACTTACTAAACACATACAACTGCTCGTTGAAATCTGCTATACTGATGAGATGGGCGCCCTCTAGGCGGCACTGGGTGTCGGCATCTTGCCAGTTCTGCGTCTCTGTTCGGAAGCTATAGCAACGGTCACCTGAGCCCTCGTACTCCCAGCCTAGACCACACTTCCTGTCATATGAAGCTGTCATAATACACGAAAGTGATGATGAGAGCGTTGGCCTTTTTTTAAAATGTTGAGTGCGCCGTAAAGCAAGATCCTTTTTTTTTATTTTCCATCATCAATAAACTAATCAATGCTATAAAACACAGAACAAGCGGTGAAATCAGATAATTGGGCCTATGCTAAGTGATTTCTTGATTGAATAACTAAAAATATCATAATGACAATTTGCTGAGGTGAACTGTGAAGATCATGTGACTTACTCGTTGGTGGAGGAGCGGGTGTATTGACGTTGGATCCGGCTGGAAATTAAAAAATATCAAACCAGAATTAGCATATTTTAGAAGAAAGTAACAATAATATACTTGCCTAAAAACTGAACGACATCAAAAAATTAACCTCGTGGGTTAATTTGGCACAAGTTCAAGGTATGTGACATTAAGGTAGAACTGAGCATTTCCTTCAAGATCGCAACTTACTCTTAGGTCTTTTGCAGATGTATCGGTACTGATAGTCACAGTTGATGTCATTCCATATTCCAACCTTCTGGAATGCCGATTCCAAGTGGACGCAGTCTTCACCACTGCCAGCATTGTTGGGCTCTCCGGAACCCCAGTTCAAGAAATCAGTCTGAAGGAACGTCCAACAAAAAGGAGTCGATGGAGGAAGATCTTAAGCTATTTTGACATGTACCCTTGGACTAGTTCAGACGTCAAGCAAATGCCAATTCCTGAACGGCCAAATCTCTTCCATGTGAACTGACACTTTAATCTCTCTGAATTTTCACGAACTTGAGTTTGACAGCCTCCTTTTCACTGTGCACTGAGTGGGTTGAAATTAAAGGCCGTGTGCGGGGAATTGCGCCTGAGATTACTGTCTAGGTAATCAATTATGCTTTCATAATAGTTGAGAATCTGCTTGAGTAAAAGCACTTACGCTTTTATCTACAAGCCTTATACGTCTGTTTCAAGCTGTGCGTCCGAACACAACCCTTCTCATTCAATGCATTTTGCACGCCTTGTGCTAATGGTTGACTACGCAATAGAACAGACGGACAAACAAACATAGTTGTCATGGGTTTACCGCTGTTCCATCGGTCCAAACAAAGGTGGACTCCCCAACTGTGTCATGGAGACCGATCCAATGACTTTCCTGAACAAAGCTTGCTCGTACTTTAAAAAAGAAGGGAATTATATTTTGTGGTCAAACTTTAAAAATTGAAATTTAAAGGTAATCATCATATATATACCATTGCATTTCAAGATTTGTGACCAAGGGTACTGTGAATGAAGAAGGTCACGTGTTTCCTATTAACAATTTCCAAGAAGCAGTCTGCGATTAAATTCAATAAAATCTGGTACGATGAGTCATCTGATTGCACATGAACATAACACTTTGATTTCCCCAGACTAAAGGCGTTATTGCTATACCTTGTGATTCGGGGCAAGCTATTGCATAGCGACCACCATTTCCGGAATGGACTGGTTCCTGGTTTGTGCTTTTCTTGTGCAAGGCGTCTCTTATTTAATAACTAAGCAAAAGCTTGCCCTAAATCACGACGTATAGCAACAGCGTCTTTAGTATGGAAAATTGAAACTGTTATGTTCACGTGAATTTTAAGAACTAAGAGTACCAGATTTTTACTCAAATTTAACCAAATGCGGAGTAATCTATCTTTGTTCAAACTTTCAAAATGATGAGCATACATTCAGTCGTCAATAATGAAGGTTCAACGCTGTGCGTGCGCAATTATCTAGACGACTGATATTTTTCTCTGACCTGACAGGAAGGACTGCTCTTCAGCGCTATGTATGCTGACGAGATGCACGTCAGTTCCCATGGCTGTACAGAGCGTCTCTGCTCTGTTCCAAGTACTAATTTCTTGAGGCGAAAAGTAGTAGCAGAAGTCTCCGTGGAGATCCCAGCCTGGGTCACAGTTGCCAGTAGCTAAGGGGCACGTTAAAGGCGAGGATTGAACTTTCTGTTCCAGTTGTTGATACTTTGTGAATGACCGTTTGTAGAATGTTTTAGCAGTGTTTTATTCCCATGGAGCATAATTAGATATTATGCTTCACGGTCCCTTTCCCTACTAAAATGTTTTCAAGCTGAAGCAAGATACATATTCAAAACAAAATCCTAAAACATTTGAACGATCTACACTGAAATTCTGAAACTCATGTTCCACACTTAAGCACTGCTGTTTCAATATAATTTAACCAATGACATCCTTGTTAAAATGATAATAGTCACTTGCACAAATCATGGTTTGCTTGATTGTAATAAAAGTCTCCCCACTTGTTATCAGCAATAAACAGTTTCTGTTAATTCCCATGATTACTCACTTATATCGGGAGGTACTGAAGTAACCGCTTGCCCTGTCGAAAAAAGACACACAAAAACCAACACACGTTGCATGTAACTTCGACTTAGCCAAAATAGAACTTGTTAAAACAAGTGTAAAGTCTGTTTATAATATAGACTTAGTTTCCAGTCAATGAATACAAAAATGCAGTACACAGTACTGAGTAGGCAAAAACCACTATTTTATGTCTTTCTCTGCGATCCGACCGCATCCTATCTTACTCTTAAATGATTTCAGACACCCCGACATTGCATTAAGTTCAGTGTATTTTACAGGGTTGCTGCGATTATGTCATCCGTTGTTTCTGATAGGGGTGTTACTGCCACTCTTCGCCTTACTTACCAGCAGCAATTTTACAAATGAAGCCTTGCAGATTGAAACAGTCTCTTGATTCCCATTGCCCTAAGTTGCTTCCTGTGACAAAGAAACAAAATCGTTCATAAAAAATACAAGCACAGAGCAAACATTTAGTATCACAATCGTCTCTGTACATTCTTTCGATTCCAGAAGGTAAACACGCTCAGTTGCGGGACGTGACTTTGCGAACCCACGAAACAAATCTCGCACCTGTGTAGATGCTGCCGCAATCGAATTGGCCAGATCTAGTGGTGGGTTGTCCACTGGCCCAGTTGACGTATGATGAACCGGTATTCTGAACCCATTGTAGCATGTTGTCCGTGACAGAATCTAAAAGCAAGAAACAGATACAAATATGAAATGAGTTTTGAAAATGTTTTTGAATACCAATACATGACGCCTTAAAACGCCGATTCTAAACACAAGGGATTTGCAGAATATCTTACTGAGATTGTATCTAGTTGAGCCTTTGAAAGAAATCTTGCAATACCAACAACAAACCAACATGTTGGTAGTTTTTCTATTATGTTCTCCTTACGATACAACTGAAACTCACCTGATATACCAATGTAAATATCCGAGACACCAGCTTGGTTGAAATCACTCAGAAAACCAGTTATATATTGGTTCTCTGCATCGCTGTGGGCAAAGAAATATGTTTGCAAAACCTTTACGAAGATAATGTCTGTATTTTCAATGAATTCATGGAATAGGAGTTAAGTCTTCATTCATAAATCCCTTCTTTTAGACTTCATAATAAAAAATCAGTAATGAAAATGCACAGTTTATGTCTAAAGATGCAAATAGTGAGAATAAAACAAAAATATCACATTCGTGGCCTGGTTCTCAGCCTGGAGGTTTCATTTAGTTTGTTTAACTTTTGCATTATTTGAATAATTCATTGCCAAAGATGTCATACTATGATACCACAGAGGAAGGACACAGAAGGAGTTGCATCTCCGGCCCTTCAAAGTGTTCAATGATGGTCGCCGCTGAGTCAGACGAACAATAGAAAGCATTCTAAAAATGCCTTATCACTGCCTACACCTTAGCCGGACCAGCAGGGCCAGTAATATTCAAGCAATACTTGTATTTTTGCTTGCAATTAAATACAAATTATTGCTGTGACCAGGAAATAGAGAAAGAAACATCCCTGATATTATGCTTACTTTGCAATCGTAAATAACTGTTTCAATTTCGATACATTTTTCTCCTCTCTCCAATACATCAGTGTTCAAAGACTTGCAAAAAATTTGGCTAAGACAGATCAACAAAATGTTGACTTTTACTGGAAAGCTAAGTTCATCTTGACTTCCAGTGCAGCTTTCCCCTACTGATAAGGTGCTTTTCTACAAGTTGGCTTTTGTAATTCTAAGCAACCTGCAGCCTCAAATAATGTTCCCCGAGACACGGAGCCCCAAATCGCTTATTACTTGATAATGGTGGTGAGGTAGCCCCCCTGGGCGTCACAATAATGCTTGGCGTCGGTCCAAGTCTTCCGGTTGTTAATATTTAACTGGTAACACTGGCCATTGTGATACGTCCATCCGGGGGCGCAGGCACCTATGTCAAGATGTAATTTCACTTTTAAAAAGTAGTTCACATCATACTTTAAAAGAAACAATAAGCGACAACGGGACAGATGCCAACAATTGTAAATATTCCGAGAGAACAATACTGTGTAAGTAAAAACACAAAACAAAACATAGCAACGGCTTTATAGTTAGAGTGTTTATGCTTTATTTTCTACCTTGTATTCTCTCGCAGAAGAAGAAACGGCTGGTGGTGCAGTCTATTGTTTTCCATTTACCATTAGACGAGGCCTGGACGCAGTTCGCACCGCCACTGTCATAAAATCTGATGAGGCCCAAAGTACTTATTAACAATAGGCCTTGATTTATTCTTTTCAGTTTAAGCGGTTAAGTGTTACGATGTTGTACCTTAACCAATCATGTATTTTTTCACAAAAGTTCATCAGTTGTAAGAAAGATGAAAGATGAAATTTTGAAGAAAAATGAAAGTGAGGTTTACAGTCAAGTAAAAACTACGAGCCTTATCACAAATACTGCATGGGTGATTTTGCATAATGGTAGAAACGCAATGTGGGTAGGAAAAGGGATATATGCCCCTTTTTCCTGCCCGCAATGCCTTTCTACCATTTGGCAAAATCATCCATGCAGTATTCGCGATAAGCTTATACAGTGAAAGTTGGCTCACCTAGAGCTATCAGGTAGAAGCGTGGACGAATTATACCGTCCATTCCAAGTCAATATCACTTGTATTTTAGAAATTGATGATGATGATTCTATTGATGATTCTCAGACTCGGTAAATTCCAAGGACACTGATGCCAATTAATGCTTTGGCAAAAATTCTTGTGAACGGCTACAATTATAGTTGACTCACTGATTGTCAGGTTGGTTGGCGTCCCAGTTGTTATACAGGGCAGTGTTGAAAGTAGTTCCGTCAATCCAGTGGTAGTTACCACGCTCGTATCCCTAGCAAAAGAAGAATGCTTGTCGATGAGACAAAGTTGTTCCACTGAGTAAATTGTTTCAGAAATGTCAATGTCTTTTTGTCACAAATGTGTAGTTCATTGCACACAATCCCCATTAATTTGGCTGTAATAACCTGTAACATTGCTCCAAAACAGTGGTACCTTGGCGACACTTCAGGGGTAGCTAAAATCATTACCTCATTTACAGAAATAAACGGCATCTGTTCTGTTGCAAAGTCGTAGATTATAGGCACGAGATGAAAAAAAAACAAGAACAACGACGAAAACAAAAAACACCAGGTTGACATGTAAGTAAAGCCCTAGTTTGGACCCACAATAAAACAGTGGGGAAATAACTCGATAAATATAACCCAGTAACACTAAACTGCCATTTTAGTTCGGAGGTTTCCTTGAATGGAATGTTGTAAGAGTTTATATCTTCGAGAAGGTTACACAACCGATCATGGCAATGGTTTTCTAACTACGGATGACCCGAGTTAGGGACATTCATCAATATCCATGGTACCCATTCGCACCCAACCGGGCCAACCTGGTCAGGCTCTTAGCTCACACGGATAAGAAATAGATTATGACGATTATGGTACCCTATCAGTCAGTCCGATGAAATACGGAAGGCCGTTTCTGGCAGTAGTCGCCTCCACAGCCGTTTGTTCGTCCGCATTGGTGTAAGACACCAGATGTCCACCAAGCAGACTGCAGTACTGCTCCGCCCCGTTCCATTGGTAGGTATCCGTCACCCAGAGATAGCACTTGTTATTTGTCGAACGCCAGCCTTTGCTCTGATCACAGTAAACGGGTGTACCTGATACCAAATTTTCATTAATTTCTTGTGTTAACAAGAGTACAACATACACATGCTTTCAAGTGATCCTAATAAAGTTAGGCCTATGCGAGGTATCCATTCAAGAACGTGGGTTACGAAGCATCAAAATGACGCAAGAATGAAGTTCCCAGGAAAAATATTTTCGTAACGCAACCATAAGGTGCACCAGTCTTACAGCGTGGAACAACGGTGACTTCAGTATGGTCTATATGCACTGCAGATATTGTCTTAGTAAAACATTGCTTAAAGGAAATAGAAGTAGGCCTACTGAGCTAGAATAATAGGCTAATGGAAATGCCAATCACATTCCTTGGTACATTTTGACTCAGTGTAAAAGGATGAGTGAATCTTACTGATTGGGCGAGAGCAGATGTAGTAGTTGAAGGCGACGCATGCTTGATCGTTCCACTGCCCATTGCCGTTACGCGTATCAATCTCAGCACAGTCTTCCCCAGAGAGAAAATCATCGTTCGGTTCTCCTGGTTTCCAGTTTCTAAAAAGAGGACAGATGCCATCCATGAAAATTATTCGATTCTTGTTTGGTCTAATTCGACGTCTCTGCTGTGGGTATTGGTAAGCAAGTAATAGGCAAATCTTCCATAAAAACAAGTGCAATAATTTAACTTCTCTCAACGTGCCCTCGGAACTAAATCCTTGTTTCCAGGTGTCCAAATAAGTTTGAGGCGAAACGAAATAGGTCTTTGCGTCTCCAAAAGCTGCGTTCAGAGGTCTGCACTAATGTTGCACAACTGCCAAATAATTGCGTTTTAATTCTAGATATTCTAAACGACAAATGCCCTCGTCCAAGCTCGTGCACAATTTTTTTCCCTTGAACTTCGCTTGAGCCTTTTAGAGCAGCAACTGAACCCGTATTGCTGCACGGTTGCGAAACATGGGCCGTGAACCAAGAAATATTGGACCGACTCGACGGGTGCTTGTCTGCTTCGCATTGCTCATAACATGGACTGCACTGCTATGGAGTTCGCAACACCCAATTATATGGAGGGGCTTGGTTCCACCACTCAGCTGTATTATTGCCAAGAGAACACTGAAGCTCATTGGCCACGAATGCTCTCCGAGCCACTGAGAAGCCAGTATCAGACCTCATTCTGTGGGAACCAAATCCAAATTCTGCAAAGTTGTCCCATATTAAGACACCTTGCAACTATACGGGTGCAACGAAGCAAGAGCTTGCGGGGTCTCATGTCAGACCGAGAGCAATGGCAGCTCATCTAGGGCGTGTACGACTGGAAGAAAACTTCCAGACGACACGATCGATGATGATGATAGTGATCGAATCATTGCAACCTACGTGTAGGTAGTAGGGCTGCCGTCAACCCACTCAAATGCCGTTTCCTGGGATCGATCGTAGTAACCGATCCAATACACAGCTTGTGTTGACTGTAAGGCTGAGTTTAAAAAGTTCTGCGACGGAAGAAACAGAAAATTTGGCAGCAAATGATAAAGAAAAAATCAAACAGACTGCAAAGTGTATGCTTAACACAGGATCGGGGCATAAATCCAGGGTGGGGGTGGGGCTATAAGGGTATATCACCCCACTCCATACTTTCTGACAACTAAAATGTTTATTACAGTATTAGAAAGAGGAGACAAAGTAGAGAGGCTTAAACACTTTGTAGTAAGGTAAACGGGTGCATAAAATGCACACCTATATCATAAACAGCGCCTAGCCCCCACCCCCGCTTTTAGCATTTCCACGGCCAGACATTATTTTTTTTTAGAATTTAAGTCCCCACAATTATTTCGAGTCCCAGGCACAAATCAACAGCCACAAGATCGATACTTTCAAGTCAACTTACATTAACCTGAGCCGACGGGATGACTACGAGATCAGCATGTTCGTCTATGCAAGCTTCTCTGGCGGAAGTCCATATCCTGGTCTGACCACCAACTAGATAGCACTGGTCACCGAATTGAAGCCAGCTCCCGCCACATCCCTGACCACTTACTTTGAAGTGGCACAATTAAAAACAAAATGGGAAGTGTGAACGATTGTATATATAGTTTGTATATATAGGAAGCACGGAAAGTTGGTTGATATTTTAGAGTCAATGATTTACAGGTAGACTGTGCAAAACAGGAGATTATTGCATTTAAAGAACACTCTAGTCTGCTTCTAGCTTGGTGGAACGGTGCTACATAAAATATCGAATCCCCTGCGGCTTTACTGAAAGACGAAAATGTTTGGAAGCAAAACCTACTTCAGGATAATTCCCCTTCCCGTGACGTCACCCTTCCTACTATGCTAAGAAGGTGTAAAGGGGCATAGTGACAGAAAACATTCTCCCATCTACTGACCCTGTACGTGATATTTTTACTAACCCACAAGTAAAAGTGCTCGTACAACTTCGACCTCGTACGTACTGTGTGATAACTCATACACTCATTTTGGAAGGCCTACTTAGTGTTTCAAATTACAGAAGTGTCTGATGCAAACACTTCTGAAGATTTTCAATTTGTTGTCCGGCGATATGCAGAGGTTACGTTTAGGCAAAGGATCAGGGAAGGATTAATTCTTGTTTTATCAGGGAATGGATGGTTCGTTCACGGCCTTGATGTCGGCTCTAACAACCATAGAATCAGATAAGGTCTTCATAAGGGCCTTTGGTGATATTTCAGTTTTGCCCTTTGCCGTGTGAACATTTTGAGACATTTAAATCATCTCTATGCATGGCATTCTCCAGTATTCTCTTAACGAAATCCCACCTTGACTACAAGTCAATAGAATTAAAACAAATGAGGGATTGAGTCGGGGGGGGGCACCATGCCGGTAACCAGTGAATGTGCATCACTTCAAGCACTTCAGATTGATACTCGATTAAGTGCCCTGAAAGGTTGAAATTCTATTTAAACTGAACATCAGCCATGCACAACTTGGATTGGGGTACAAAGTAACTGCTTGCACTGGGACATACATTTCATTATAAACATCTGACTTGCGTATTTTAGAGGCAAAGTTGAAACGACAAAAGATTGTAACTGCAAAATCGGAACAATGAAAATGGATCACAAATGCAACCTTGTTGTATTGTCTACAGAACTTTATTTTGCAGTTGGGCACAAACGGGACGAAAATGCCAGTTTGCTATGCGCAAACAAAACCTCGGCTATGCACCTGTATGTCATAACGGAAAAACAGGAAGGTTTCAAAAATGAAATTAGTTTTAAGGATCTGCAACCGTCTGATCCATCTCACTCTTTTCGTTACACTTATTGTATGAAGTGTAAAAAATGTCAGTGAAAAGAATGCGTTCATATATTAGGAAATTAAAAGTTTAAAACAAAAGGAGAGAAAACAAAACAAAATAAAACAAAAAACAAGAGAAAACTCATTTCAAAAATTTTTCAAAGGGGGCCAGACTTAACTAGAATAGTCAACACACGTATGGCAATGTATACCCCAATAGACAGTAAATTCAGGATATATATCAATATATAAAGTGCGGGAATTGTTGTCAAATAGACTTCAATTCTCGCCTCAAATTACTTGAAACCATGCCAAAAGTTCAATTGAATTATTACAGGGGATTATTTCTTTTGCATTTCGAATTGTAGAAAGAAGACTGAAGCATACACACATGATACCTGGTATCTGTCCCATGTTTGAATAGTGGATAAGAGCTCACATGTTATTCGAAAAAATTACATAAACAGCTAAACACACTCAACAAATGGAAGTCCATTACAAAAGAATGATTTTCTTAGCGACGCTGCGATGGAAGAGCAAATTTAGCTTGTTATAAAATCAAGGGGTGCGGGCATTATCGTAGAGAGAGAGGAGCATTCGATAGGAATATTTACTGGAAACAAAAATTCTGGAGTTTTAAGCATAAAACAAGTCATTGGATATCCACGGAAGGAAGAAGATCGCCCCCTCAAAAGAAGGAATAGAAGGAGAGGAAAACTTTTGCAGATCTATTTCATTCGCATTTCATTTTGTCTAATAATCTAATTTTGAAGCCCATAATGTACCACCACACCCCACTAGTCACATCATCCTACTCGTCGAAGAGGCACACGACGGGCGCGCAGCATCACTGCAGCAATGGTTTTAACTTCTGGTTACGGAGTTAGTCTGTGGCTCATTGTGATTCCCACCCCTTATTTGTAAGAAAAACATGGGAAACATTTTAGTTACTAACGAGAAGAATATTTTACCTGATCCGAGGAGAGCAGTGACGACAAAAAGAACAACTGCAAGCACCATGATTAATAAGGATCGTCTTTGCAAAAGCACACAGACTACGACCACTTCGGACACCTCTTTCAGTTCTGAGCCCGTCTCTGAGCTTGACCGTAATCCTCCGTGGTTGGTCAGCGGGGCGTTCCTGTGAGTTACTCGAGACAATCCGGTACAACTGACTGACCGTCAGGGATCCGTCAACAAAAGAGATAAGTATGTATCTACAATGATTATGTCACGCTATCAGAACTGATAGCAAGATTGGTACCCGCGTGTGTGGCTTTCATATCCACATGATTTCTCTCTCTGCTCTTTGAGCAGGCCTTTTGTTCTTTACAAAAAGAGACGGGTTGCACAGTGAGACGAAAAAATACAATAAAACATTGCTGCAGACTCATTTTGGCGTTAAACAATACACTTTGAAAGCGCTCTCTTGCATGGCAGGAAACAGTGCTTATGGAGTACCCTTGACGCACTTTCATCTAATAAACAGACAGAACCTGTGGTCTCATTAAAACTGCCTTATCACCTCTTTGAATAAAAATAAAAAATACCAAGGAACCCGTGTATTAAGTGAGGAGGTTGCAATATTTTTCTTTTTATCTGTTCAGCTCATGACTGGTGGCGTACCACTATAATGACCAACCGTGTTTTTACCGTCTGCCGTACGTAAGCCCAGCAGCTGTACCTGTTGCTGATTTACTCTCACACCCACAGTTTTATTGAGCATTGACACTGTAGTAAGGCATTACAGTCGTGTTAATGTGGAAATAACTTTCCAGCTAGGATGTCAGTGCACTGGATGAAGCATGTTCAATCTGTAAGTCCACAACTCAAGTGCCTATTACTGTTGCACCAAATGTTGAGTAAAATTTGTGCTTTGTGGCCATTTTAAAAGAACACATTCCATCATTTTAATCAAGAGTAAGACATGGAAATGAAAGCAACCTACAATTTTGAAACTTTCCCCTCAATGGTAAAAAAATAGAGGAATTCGGATCTCTTGTAAGATGTAGAAAGGTCTGTTTTTCATTTTCAAAAAAAATTACTGACGTCTATTAATCAGGGTATTCCTTTTTTTTACTAGTGAAGTTCTGTAGCTTGCTTTATGTAAAGCCTGGCACATTCGTCAAGAACTGTAACACAGGTACCAGATTAAAGTATACCGGATTGTCATTTTATTGCTAATACTAACGCCCTCCTTCAATAAATCTGATTAGACTCTCTATGCCTGTCAATTCTATTGTTTCTTCACCATTATCATGTTGAATGAGCCCGAAAGTTCACTTTCTTTTGAATTTGCCCCCCCACACCACCTACAGCTGGATACGAAACTGCATGTAAAACTGTGATCATCTTCTAAGATCTGGCTTGGCAAAGTCATAATGTGAAAAAACTGTCATCCTAATCTCCCTTGAGCAGAAGCATCCCCTCACTGGTTGAATATGGCCAGGATGGTCGGGAGTGTTCATTTTGCTGGTAGCGACGCGACTGTAATGCGTACCTGTACCTTGCTAAGAAAATTGCGCCCTCTCTTGGTCCTGCTCAGGGCTCATTAAGATTTTCCAGATGTCAGGGATTATGACAGTTTGCAGCACACTGTATGCGCCCATCCGCTTTAAATTTCCATCACACACTTGACTTGTTTTAAAAGTCAAGGATCTGCAGAAAAATGTCAAGTAAGCTCTTTTTGGCCTTTAACAAGCATCAGGCAATGACCTGAAAAATTTTTATAAAAAATTTATACAATTTATATAAATGAAAAATTTATGCAAAAATACTAATTTGCGATGATTGTTATATTTTCAGTAAAGGACTCAACGCTTTTACATTCGGTGCCACTACGCACAGCAAATCTTCTAATACTGTTGAACAGATTTAAAATCTTCATATTCAAAACTTATTTCAAAGCAAAAAACTACTGAAATGTGAAAGAGAGCTTTTTTAGTAAAGGTTGATTCCAATTTAAAAAAGACTACCAAATCAAAACTTTATTCGAAGTGATTTTCAGGTATGCAAAAACACAAAACTAACAAAAATTCAGTGGAGTAAAGGTTAGTAAAACGTGTTTGAATGAGGATTTTTAGGAGTATCTTACAAAAATGTGTGGTACACTAAATGTAGAGTGATAAATTTGAAGGTAGTTCAGAAAATACTGTTTCCAAGCTATAACCGATTTCCAAGGCTTACAAAAAAGAACTTCAATATATCACACACTATGTGCCTCTTTTGTACTGTGTAGATTTTTTCATTTTTTCAACGCGTAACTGCAAAATCTACTAATTTCAAAAACATCAAATTTGTTTAGCTTTGTTTATGAATGGGTAAAATCCAAGACCTAGGTAAAAGTAGATTTAAATAAAACTACCGGTGAAAAATCAGTAATCTGAATAAATGGTTTCAATTGAATATGTACCTTTGTCTCCTGCGGAAAATTCACTTTCTGGGAAATTCAGTTCAAAGAAATTAATAAATCACACAAAACGTAATTGTAAAGGGCTAGGGCCTATATAACAACTACGTTAAGAAGTTCTTGTTACTATACTGAAAGGGCCTATTCCCACGGTCCAAATGTCTGATCACATTTTGGATTTTCTTCTCTAAAAGTAAACTAAATTTCCTGTTTATACTGGTTCTGCCTCTCTTTGGCGTACATTTTTTGCTTCATGTGGCTCTTCTCTCTGAAGTAGCAACAAGCCGACATGAGTATAATCAGTAGAACAGCCCCACAGCCCACCGATATACCGATGATTGCTTCCATCGACAGGGTATCTGCAGGTGCACGCGAAAATTGACAAATAATTAGTTAATATAAGGAATTGTTGCCATGTCAGTATTGTGCGGGTATACAGGTAAAGCGGTTATTGCTCTGTTGTCCAAAATTACTATCCATATGGTGGCTATAAATAGTTATTGACTTGATTTGACAATAAATCCCCAATGTCTGTCGATGAATGAGTGAATTGAAAATATGCTGCCTGTGGCTTACAAGCTCCTCAGACAACACAATGGTTTCTTATTCGTATGCATGTGCACGCTTGTACATTTATATGCATATCTACATGCATTTGCATTTGATATGTATATATATTCTACGCAAATTTCCATGACGTCCGATCCGTTGTACCATTTAACCCGACAATTCACCGCCATTAATAAACAGGGCTTTTGTGGCAAAATGCCAACATTCGAAACGCAGGAAGTATTTTATCATTGTGCCTGTATCATGTGATACAGACCTTTTTCCTGAGATGTCACAATCGTTCTGGACCTGTGTTGTGATGGCAATGAGTGCATAGTGTTTGTGTGTTGTTGAATGCGCCCGTAGGAATATTATGAGATCACCGTGGCCACGGCAGTCCACACGTGGTGGTATTGGTTTACGGTTAGCGCAATTCAGTCACGTGGGTGAAAAAGGTCTATAGGTGGCAAGCAAATAAGCAAAACTTGAGTCAATGGGCCTTACACGTGGAAGCGAGCATTTTTGCCTTGAATGAAAACAAACTCCCAAGCGACAAATGTGGGCAGGAATTAAATAACCTGTCCGAGCTGAACTTTTCTTCAGAAGTCAAACTGACGAGAAATAGAGGAAAAATAGCACCCAGGATTCGAACCATGGATTACTCTCTCTTTCTCACAACTCCACTTAAGCCAGCTCACTCGGATTGCCTTTTACCTTTTGCAAATACCCACACCCCTCCGTAATAACAAAATCCATATGCGTACTGTAATGTATTACCAGCACACTTAGTACGATAGCATTTTGCTGTAAAAGCTATGTTTGTTTTATAACATTAACAGCGGTGGTCAGTCGGATGGGGGGGGGTTCACCGTATGGGAATTTCGTAATATTATGATGAAGCCCCCTCTTGGTCCATTCCATGGCAAATGAACGAGCTTACGACTTACATGGTTCCGGCGGTATAGGTTTGCTCGATGTTGTGGGTTTCTTCGAGCTAGTGGTCTTCGGTGCCTCCATAGTGCTTGGTGGATTATCTGCAGAAAGGTATTGGAAACCAAGTGGACATGAACGCTGACAGGTGTTGAACTGCAGTCTCATTTGTAGAATCGCGTGCAGCGTGCGTGAACCTTGTGAACGACTGATTGGGATATTCTGATGCCCAAAGGGTCCATGCAATGCATGCTGTTTATGCAGTCATTCTAAATACGCCTTTGTGTCCCACTTTACCCGATTAATTACTTATTTGCGGCCATTTTATCGCATCTCGACGCCAGTGAGGTTTAATTTATTAATTTATTTTAAAAAAATCTCTGCATATTCATGAGCAACAATATGTCAGGAAGAAACCAGAACCTTAGTGCTACAGCATCAAATGTGTTCTCATTTTTTCCAAATTAATTGGACACTAACCATTTACTTGTGTGCGTCATTGTACACGGAGCCTCAATTGCAATGCAGATGAATCCCCCTTTACAAATCGTTTCTGTCTAAATTAATGTTTGAAATTTTTTCTTTAAATGTAATCCTTTGAATAAAGAACAGAAGATCAATGCAATTTTTCCTGTCTGCTTTAATACAAACTTTGAGGTCAGTGTTTGGAGTATTTTTAATTGGATAAAACTGTAAATGTTGTAAACTGTGTGCAGAGCTCAAGACGAAGCCAAGGAAGAGAACAAAGCCCTAATATGCAGACAGGGAGGCAATTACCATAGGGCGCAACGCACACATATCCTGCCTTGATAAAGCAATCGATGTTCCTCCATTGTCCTGAACCCTCTGTTGAAAGCTGCACGCAGGCGTTGCTCTCTATCGGTAAAGTTGGATGTTCACTGGCCCAGTTAGTGTAGGAATATAGCGAACCATCATTCCACTGGAACTCTGCCATATTGAATAAGACAAAAACGTTCTTAATGGATGCTTTGTGGTGGGTGCATCTCACGCGTGCCCCTCCCTATCCCTGTGATTTTAACATCTTTTCCCTTTACTCTAACCTGGTCTTTAGGTACATTTTAAGAAAGAAATTTTTGCCTAAAATGTGCCTCGCTTGTTTGTTTGAGTTTTCTTTCATTCGTGACGCACCTCCTTGTAAATGCCGGGCGCCCCCTTTGTGTGAACGTTGAGATAAGCTACACAGGACACTTACTTCAAATACCAATAAACTACGTGTTTCCTTTCTGAACAGTAGTTATCTGTGTTTTTGTAATTTCCAGGATATTTCAGATTACCAGATCCTTGACCATCTTGTCAAGGAACTTCTTGCTATGGTACTAAATAAATTATTTGAATGTGGAACCTAATTCGAGACAAAGGGCCCTTCCAACCACCGTAATACCAGATCGGCAGTGGCAATTTAACAGCGTTGACATCAATGATTACATATGCCCTTACCTCCGTCTTGGTAGGAAAGACCCAGCCAGATGCTGTTGACGTCCAAGACGGCACGGGCATTGCTCTGCAGGAAGGTGTTCACCTCACTGCTCAGACTACTCGCCGGGAAGACGTTGGCTCCTCGCTGCTGGCACATGATAAGTGCCTCCAAGTAGCTAACCTCCGTGTTCTGGGTATCGAAGAAGAAGCATCTGTCGTCGACGGCGACCCAGCCTTTGCGGCAGTCACCTGACGGAGGGTCAGGGGGTGGCGGCTGGGGTGCTACAAATAGAAACGCCAAAATCCGCAGTTAATGGTCCAAATAAATAACAATTCAAAAATTGAAAAAAAAACCACAATGTTGCTTTGTTTTATTGAAAAAATTGCCACTGGAAACAGAATAATCGGTGCATGGTGAAAACCTTTTAAGTTGTTCCGCATAAGGCAGTCATTTGAAACGCAGTCATTTTCCAGACACAACCCAGCAGGTGGTACTCCTGCTTAATATGATATGATACGAGAGCCCCGTCACCAGTTTCGGACATTGGAAGGGGACAGTGTACCAGCTGCGGGACACATTACCATAAACAATTCTGATGCTTATTTTGCCAGGGGATACTCGCCAGCAAAGGGCCTTATCAGCGTCTTGCCCTGCAACTTACATCATATTCTATCCAAATGCATACCAGTAAATGCCTGTACTGACTAAGAGAGGAAAGAAAGGCGAACAGCTGCTGTGTTTGTATCAGGAAGCGAGTGCAACTTGCACAACGACAGTCATCCTGACATCGTCTTTACCTGTTGTGATTTTGCAAACTGTAGGGTGCGCATTGCTGTAGCAATTGACATTGCGCCATCCTTCATGAGTCATGATAACGCAATCGTTCAGCACATCGTTGGATCCAATCGGGTAGCCTTTAGCCCAGTTGGTGTACTGGACAGGCCAGCCATCCAACCACTGAAACTGCCCCATAGCCTGTCCGTAAAAAATAAAAGAAGGGTGACCTCATAGTGACTGACTCGGCAGTGGAAAATTGACATCCATATTGCAACTGAGTTGCTGTCCTTGTCAACCGGCTCCGGCAGAGGGTAAGGCACGAGTCTATGGGGAGCGGCTGCAGCCCTAGCCAGCAATGTCCATGGATGAAAGTATTATTTACTGCTACGGCTACAAACTAGGCCTGTGCTTTGAGTCTTGACGAATAATCTTTTGTCAGAACATGCACAGCTCATCAGCCACATTACATCCTTAAAACCCGTCCAAAGTCTACATCTTGTTACACTCCGCCCGATAAACTATTTCTTCAAAAGCTAACCGTCATGACAGTTCTTGTATTCCGATAGGTCGAAACGCGTCACGTGACTGCGATGTGGCAATGCCCGCTGCGTATTAAGCACGCGCTGGCACCTTGATACGAGACAGTTTAATCAATTCCGATTGATCAAGAGTCTGTGTGGACCCGGT